CATTAGATTAATATAAGTGTCGGGTTTCCGACAGAGGCGCCCATTTTTTCGACAAGCGTCCCGTTTTATGTAATAATATATGTATATATATATTTCCTCCGAAAAATATATTAATAATAAAAATAATAATTATTATTAAAATAAAATTATTTATTTCAAATTAATTATTTATTTTTAATAATTAATCCTTAATATTAATATTATTATCAAAATTATTGATTTATATTAATATTATCATTATAAATATTAATAATTATTAATATTAATAATATTAATTTTGGCGCGGGGCTGGCGCTTCTGGCCCCTTCAGTCGCAATCCGTCCAAGGTGAGGAGCACCTTGGGCGGGACATCAGCGAGTTCAATCTCCATAGAGTATGATTATGATGGGATCAAAAATAGTGTAAGTTATGGGAGTTATGGGATTATTATGATATTGGTATGACTGTAAGCTACTCTCTACTCTCCAAAAACTTCTCGACTTTTTGCACTTCCTTACTTTCAATGGATTGGTTTAAGGGAAAATTTACAGGAAACCCATGGGTTTTTACCATCAAATTGATCGGGCTTTCCGGTTAAAATTTTCCCATAATCCAATTCTATGAGATTATGATGGGATCAAAAATATTGTAAGTTATGGGATTATTATGATATTGGTATGACATGGTATGACTGTAAGCTATGGGATTATTATTTATCACATAATGATGAGGATATAGTGAGATGAAGCCTTCCATCCTCCTATGAAAAACACCCCGATGGTATGGTTCAAATGTGTGTAGATTTCCTTTAAACCATTGTTTGTGGGGGTGTTTAATATTAGGGCCAAGGGATTATATAATCAACAAGATGAATTTTTGCGTGCGTTTGAAAATGAGGATGTACAGTGGATGTACCCATAAAGGGGTTGTTTGAGTGAAGAAAATGATGATAAACTAAAAGATGTTCAGGCAAACCCTGATATATCAACACAAGGATACAAACGGCGTGTTCAACCAGAAAGTGTCTTCAAACAAGAGGCCAGCTTCTCCGAAATGCATCTTACAACATGTTGCAGGTCTGACAAGATGGTTTCTTTGCTTCCCCCGACCTGCTGACTTTGGGAATGACGAAAAATGCCCTTATCCCCCTGGATGATTCACTGCCCAGCCTGTAGAGCTTGGGCGTGTTGACGCTCTGGTTGGTGACGCTGTAGCGGCCCGCAACATGCTGGGAGCCTTAGGGGGGTCCGAAATCACTCCAAATTTGCTCGAAAAATTGGTCGATTTCGTTTTCACCGTAGTGGACCTTGCTCAAATGCCTCAAATCTCCCAAAATTACGTATGAAATGGTGGTCCCTCTGACCATGCGTACCTAATTTCATCCAGTTTCCCATTCCATCAGCTGCATTTTGTTCTGGGCCATCAACCTTCGGAGGCTTCCTCAGGGTCAGCCATTGAGGGGTGCTCCATGGATAGGTACCCTCTGGTAAACGTTTACAAATAACTATGATAAATCACCATTTTTAATAGGTAAATCAACTATAAATAGCCGTTTTCAATAGCCGTTTTCAATAGCTATGTCAGCTATTACCAGAGGGTATCACCAGGCCATTCACATCAAGTGACCACTGCCCTGAGCAGTGCACCCTGGTAGGATGGCTGTGAACTTCCTTTTGGCCGCACCAAGATCCTTTCCTACCTGGAGCTCCAGTTTTCAGGCGGTTTCAAGGGAACCTTATGGGAAAACCACAATCTAAGGCACCCGGGCTTCCTCTAATTTGAATATCAGGGGGTCCTACAAAATTGTTCCCCCCAAACCCATTTGTTTGAGAAGCCAACTCTCTCCAACAAATGGGTGTATCCCGAAAATCCAGAAGTTTCTCGTTATGTTCCCATTGAAACTGCCACAGATTGGCGGTATATGATTAAATCTCCATTCTTGTTGAACAATTCCATGTTCTCTTAACAATCCTCAACATCCCATTGCTTCATAACTATATCCTATGAAATACCATCAAAAATCTAACACAGTAAAACCAAATTATTTACCGGTTAAATCGAACGTGTTTGATCGTGAAATCACAATGTTTGATGGTGATGGTTTATTGCTTGTTTATATACCTATATATATATATACCATAATAATTACTATTATTTTCAATAAATACTATATATGTATATACATATTATGTATGCATATAATATAATGTATGTATATATATATGTTATACATATATATATATATATTATACATATACATATATATATTATACACATATATATAATACAATATCATTGGGTATTACCATTCTATCTCCTCATTGTATCCCCATGTTAACCCCAAAAAAGAATCGCTTAAAATCACGATTTCTACAGAAACGGCGCACCTCGCCTCTCGGACGAAGCATCGTTTCGTATCCACCTCCAGGAAGAAGCGCGCGTTGCGTGGCGCTGCGTACATCATGTGCCCCAGAGGAGCCTCCAAAAAAGCAGCTGGGCTTGGGCAACTGGTGGGTGAGTTGCCGGAAACGGAGAATCAAATGTGGGATATGAATGGTTTAATGATCAACATTAGATGTCTGTATAATCATTGAAAGAATCGAAATCCGGAAATGGAAATCCAATGAAACTTGGACAGAATACTTGGAATACTTGGATGGTTTGCTACTCTTCAGTCACATTAAAAATGCTGGGTCACGAGGCAATGTGGACCTATAGCCTATAGCCGCTCCAGTGTTTAAGCTTCAGCGAAACAGGACAGTCTCGTTAAGGAGCACCAAACAAATACTTGGGCGCTGGCTGCTGCAATGCACGAGTACTTCTCAGCCTGCACAGAAATCTGCACGGCAACGGACACTCAAATAGGCTATGGACGACAAGTTCAAACACAAAAATCCTGAGCATTCAGTCATCTTTCCAATTATTGGGGATAGGGGATTAAATCTACCAAATAGGTCAAATCCCCTATCCAAGACATCTTGGTTGGATATTTAAGAAACATGCCAGGTTAAATATCCGTAGTTGGTTGTAGTCTACCGGTCTTTGCTGGTTTTTGCTGTTTGTTTAGGATTGTGGTTCCCTGGAAATTCAGTCATTGTCATAGTTGACATGTCGTGATTTATTGAGTGGCAAGGGGGCCCAACAGTGCCTCCTTGCCCAAGTCAATGCCGATTTCTTCGACCTTGCGGGTAGCGTGGAGCCACCGTTGATGATAATCATGGAAGGATTGTTGCGTTACTCTTATTAGTACAGTAATAGTAGCCTCAGCAATCATAATAGTATAAGAAATAGTTGATGAACATATTGTCATGATGATTGTGGGTACTATTACTACTATTCTAGTATATGATCAGAACATATTGTTACTGTACTATTATATGTATCACTATTTACATCATTATTGTCATGACCATTATTAGGATTATAATATATATATATCGTGGAAAACATGGAAATACTATTGTGTCCCTATCATTGCTGTTGTCATTATCATTTATGATCATGTCTCCTGACGGGGCCCTTGGGGTGATCTGCCGGCTTCAGCATCCGCATCCGGCTTCGGCCGCATCGGAGTGTGGATCAAGATTGAGACCCACCGGAGCAGATTACGTCGATTGCGTGCACAATAAAGGACCATTGAATAGAAATGACAAAGATTAACTAGGCATGGCGAGTTTAATTCGAGTTTACGCCAGGCTTCGAAGTATCTTTGTATCATTTGTTCGTAGTAATCTATGTCAATGAGGTTTAATTATATTTAAGAATGTGGTAAACTCAATAATAATTCATCCCCAAAATCACCACTTTTATGAGTGGTATAAACCATCCCGAGTCATGGTAGTTGTTTATGGCATTCCCACAAAAAAAACAACCATTATATCCCCAATTGGTACGTTTATGGCATTGGGTTTCCCACAGTATTATCTCGTCATTCACCATATATTCACCATATATTCACCATATATCAACCATATGCATCTATTCACCAAAGAATAACCATAGATTTCCGTTAAGTAGGCCATGAACTATCGTTCAGCCCCGGTTCTTCCCGATCAGCTTGGCGGCTTCGTGGTCCAAAGGATCGATGAGGAGCACTCGATGTGCCTGGAAGCTTTGGGTGTGTCTGACAATGAAGGATTTATCCCCAATAGATGTATGATGATGTATGGATGGATGGATGGATGGATGGATGGATGGATGGATGGATGGATGGATGGATGGATGGATGGATGGATGGATGGATGGATGTATCTATCTATCTATCTATCTATCTATCTATGTATCTATGTATGTATGTATGTATGTATGTATGTATGTATACATGTATACATGTGTATGTATGTATGTATGTATGTATGTATGTATATATATATATATATGGTCATTTTAATGAGAAAATGATGCTTAACCACATTTCGCCTATTTGCAGTCAACCCCTTTTCCAATGTGGTGAACTCAATGCCATAAACCCAGTTGGGGAAGGGGTGAATGATGAAAAAATCACCAAGTTCACTGGCAATTTGAATGGAGAAACCTCTAGCTGGGAAAATGTGAGCTAAATCGGAGATTGATCAACAGCAAGCAGCGTTCGATTACCCGAGGGTATACTGAAATGTGGAGCATATATGCATCCAACGGCAGCCACCACAGCGCAGCCGTACTTCCCTCAGATTCAGTCAAGTTCCATCATCATGTTGAAAGCTACCATCTGGTTATGACTAACAGTTTGCCATGGAAAGATCCACCATTTTTAAGAACGGTAAACCATCTATAAATGGGCCATCTATACCATCGCTATGTGAAATAACCAGAGGGTATTTGTAAGATGGTTGAATGGTGATATGGTCAATCTCTGCTTTTGGTTGAATGGTTATATGATTTATATGTGTTTACCACAAAAATCCAGCGAAAGGTCTTCTGCTCTGAATCGTTGAATTTCTTGAGCCTGCAGAGGAGCGCAGTAGATGCGTCCATCTTGGCCGATGCCGCAGCAAGCATATAACGCCTCCCGGCACATGATATGGCTATTGGTCAAAACCCTGCACCCATGGTGAGTCCCCAAATAGCTGGAAATGTTCATCCCCGCCAATATGGCAAGATAGGTTTTGATCCATACAGGATCTCCGGTCCAACTTCACACAGCATGATGTCACCACACCTCTCCATTCCCAATGCTGGGCCCGATCAAACGACTAGCCTGGCTGCGCGGTATTTCCCCTTCGCAATTGGGAGCTCCGAAAATCAACAGCCCAAAAAAGAGATTGAGTTGACCTACAAAACCAACCCAGGTCAAAACCTCCTATGATGTTGTTATTTTGGGGGGTCGAAATTTTGGAATATGTGGTACTCTACATCAATTTCTACATAACTACCATTGGGTGGGGAAAGACATCTATAAATCATCATTCATCCCAGCCTTTTTTGTGGCTTCACCAGGGCAATTCGCCGGGCTGACTCCACCAGGATTGATCTCTAAGACGCGTGTGGCGTAGAGCGGGGGAGCCTGAGATATGGATGGAGATCGGGTATATCCCAAAAAGTGGCTGTTTTTACTGGTCTTTTAGTGAAAATCATGTCATAATCCTGAGTTTGAAATCTTCTGGACATGGTTTTCTTCAATGAGGAAAATGGTGAAGATTTAGGGCTACATGTATACATATGAATATGTATATATATATATATATTCAAAGAAGGCAATAGATATACATGTGTATGGGTGATGCAAGAATCCAATATATAATATATATAATTACATATAGTTAAGATATATTTGTATATATATATACACATATCATATTTATACCCACTTTGATGGGAAAGTTGTCAATAAATCGATACCTCATGGTCCCCAGGTCCCAAACGTAGAGCAGCCGGTTTGGACCTTGACAAACACCTGGGCCAGGGTCCCCACTGTGCAACAAAAGGGCAAGATGAATCATGATTAAATGTAAAGTAAATGGTGTGTAAATCGGATATCTCCATATATATATATATATACATATGATATTCATATGCAATTTATACGATAGTTATATGATACTTATATGATATCTATATGATAATATGATGATTGTATTATATCTATATTATAACTATATGATAATTATATGAATTTTATGTGATATCTATATAATATTCATATTGTATTTATATGGTATTTCATATGGTTATATGATATACATATGTATTTATATGATATACATTTACATATATATATATGATATACATATTTATATATATATATATATTATATGATATACATATATATTTATATGATATACATATATATTTATATGATATACATATATACTTATATGATATACATATATATTTATATGATATACATATATATTTATATGATATACATATATATATGATATGATATTTGTATATATATACACATAATATATATATATATACATAATATATATATATACATTATATATATACATAATATATATACATAATATATATATATATATACATATTGTTTATATATATACATATTGTTTTTTATTATTCTTAGTGTTGTTACTATTATTACTATATACACATATATGGGCAAATTACCAGCAATTATATACTACAATTGCAAAATTGTAGTTGTCAGCCCCCAACGAATCAATTCCTGAGGCTTCCAACTGCAATACTTCCTGGGTGCTTCAGTGCTATCGCCCAAATCAGGACCTATGAGACCTGAGTGGGGCATTTGAAGATACCCTCTGGTTATGACTAACAGTTTGCCATGGTATAGATGGTCCATAGAAATAGATGGTTTGCCGTTCTTAAAAATGGTGGATCTTCCCATGGCAAACTGTTAGTCATAACCAGATGGTAAGGGGTCAAAGCTGATAACCGTACAGCGGCTACAGCGGGGAAAGATGGTGTCCACGGAGTCCATGGGTCACAGAATCTGAGTGTCTCGGGCTGATTTCTCCCTTCTCCGAAATCCGCAGAATCTGCAGCTTTGACCAACAACAAACTCTTGGGACTCTTCGGTGGAATTCATGGGCAACTTCACAAAATGACCCTTTGATGTGAAAACCTGAAACTTATGCAGCAACGATCCATGTACGTTGGAGCATCATGTGGGCCGTTAAAACTTCATATCCATGTCCAACCATGCTTTGCATGCCGCGCGCAATAACTTTTACCCCAGGCCTGTCTGGCATTGTAGGGTGGAGCATATATGCATCCATCGGCAGCCACCACAGCGCAGCCGTACTTCCCTCAGATTCAGTCAAGTTCCATCATGTTGAAAGTTACCATCTGGTTATTTAACAGTTCGCCATGGAAAGATCCACCATTTTTAAGAACGGTAAACCATCTATTTCTATGGACCATCTATACCATGGCAAACTGTTAGTCATAACCAGAGGGTAACGTGTTGCTGGCGAGATGAGGCAGGTGGACTGCGGGCCTGGAATGCCACCCAGATCTGGACCGATCTGGCACGGAGATGATACACTGAATGGGTAGATGGATCAAGGGATACCCTCTGGTTATTTAACAGTTTGCCATGGAAAATCACCATTTTTAAGAACGGTAAAACCATCTATAAATGGGTCATTTTCCATGGCTATGTTGAAGAACCAGAGGGTACACTGAATGGGTAGATGGATTTTCCGGAAATGTCCTTGAAGAAGCTCCGAAAGTGAAGACATCTGTGGCATTGAAGGGATTCTAAGCAGACTTGGAGATCGTGAACAAGGTTGACAAACCCAACAATTGCTGTCAACAAACTTAGGAAGAGTTCCTTTCAAATGCTTTGTTTGCCACGACCCCAAGGAAACCACAGCTACGGCTTCCATCTTCGCCCAGGTCAAGCGCACCCGTTTGGAAGTTCCTTTCAGGGGATCAATCTGCAGCACCTCAGTCTGCAACTGAAGTGACTGCAGTGTGGATCACTGTGGAACGCAAGCTTCCCCCCAAGTGACCAGGTGTGTTTGCGAGCCACAAGGAACTTCAGGACTTCGCGTGGGAAAGGTTGGGACTTCTGTGTTCCAGTCTTCCAATAGATCGCCCCAACTGTCAACTTGTTCGTGTCTGGTTCCTCATTGTTGAGATGGTCGACTTCCAAATGAGTTCCCACAACTTGGATGCCACACTTGCCGAGCGTCCCAGGGCAAGGCGTAAATCTTCAGAGTCTCAGGGGGCGGCATGTCTTGATGGGCCACAGGGCCCGGGCGTGTGAGATGGTCAAAATAGAGAGCTGTAGTTCCTACCCTTAAAAATATAAAGCAAGGTGTTCTGTGTCAAATTTTGATGCTTTGTACTGAAAGTAAACAGTTTGTCGGTGGGTTGGGCGGGGGTCGTAGATGTGGATTCATTCCTAAGTGAGGGTCAGAAAAGCAATGAGAAGGGCTGCTTGAGATTCCGTTCATCTACAGGGCAATTTCAAGGGAACCAAAAATCGTCTGGAATCCCTATAATATGCCCTTTGGTAATTTATCAAAACCTCCCAGAATTACGGGTCTGCGGGTGGCTCTCAGACACCCACGGTCGGAGAGGCCGCTGAAGCCCACCACTCAGCCTGTCAATGGCATTCGGCTCGAAAATGGCGAATCATGATGTATCATGTATGGACCTATGGACATATCATTGACATCTCTCACCGCAAATCGCAATTTGGGGAGACTCGGCTTCCAGCAAATCCATGCCAAAACTTCCGCTCACTTCCACTGGAAGGTGTGAAATCTACATCGATGCCCAGCACGGCCCAGTATGGCTCAGCCTTCTCATTTCGCGCGATCTTGACTCCCAATTCACGGACTCGGCCTGCCAAAATAGCAACATGGCATGTCAGGATGCCTCAGAAGCAAGCCCAAAAAAAACAACCGCCCATGGTCCAAAAAGATAAAGGTTGGGGACGACCTTCCTGGATATTCGCACAGCATGTCATATATCCCAGAAAGCTGCAACTCTTGGTGCTACAACCACCGGGCCTAGCCGCGGATCAATCTCCAGAACCTGAGTCCAAAGGATGAAGTGGACCACCTGATGGGGTTGGAAGCGTTGGAAAAATGCCATGGATGTCAATGATTTACGCATCACTGATGGCGGTTCTAGTGATCAACATCCCAAAAAAAAGGACAGGTTCAGCAACTTCACAAAATCCAGCAGATCAACTGGATTTGCTGGTTGGTTGGTGCTCCTGGACATCCCCATCCCCAAGGGGCGTCGAGCGACCCGCGGCGCCATGAAGGGCGCTGCAAAGATACGCCCTTGCCAGTCCCGCGAGGCTGCCTGGGATGCTCGAAATGGGGAGGTTACCCCCTGAATTCACGGCAATTTCAAATAACTCTGATTGGGAAAATGAATAAAGCACGGAATTCTCGGGGTATACCCCCTTTTCAGCCCTCATGTTTACAGGACATTATCAGTTCCCCTGAGTCCGCTTGGAAACTTCCAAGGCAGAGCAGCTCTGTGTTCCCGGGCAGCCGTTGCATACTTCGTCACCTTGTCTTCACACACTTCGTTGCCCACCTGCAACTGGGTCGTGTTATCCACAACAGATTGGGGGTTCGGATCTGCATCTACAACAGCACCAGTTGCAGAGTGCAGGAAATCGGGAAGCTGGAAGATCTGGAAGCCCTCAGTGGTTCCTTTTTAAAAAATCAGGCAATCTATACAAGTTATCCTTGCTCATTGAGGAACATAATATATCTTAGCCTATAATCAATGTGTTTTTTTGGAATTACCCTGGGCTTATGGCTCCATTCCCCACATGGCCTGAATAAACCTGTCCTCTTCGAGGTCCACCTTCAGCACGTGGCTTGCATCGTAGGGCACCTCGTGTTGACGTGGCTCTTCCCAAAACCTGAATAATTACCAATCATTAGACAATAATAGATAATAAAAGCATTTCTTGTGGCTTTCTTCTTACGATTATTCCTCTTCCTCTCCCTTTTTGTTCTTCTTGTTCTTCTCGTTCTTGTTGTTCTTCTTATTGTTATCCTTCTTCATCTTTTGACTTCAAGAGACCTGTGGGCAACTGTTGGCTTCACGATGCAGCACATAAATCAGCAATTCTCACACTCGCTTGTCGCCAGGGGCACGTACCACTGAGATCCCTGCGCAGTAGAATTCGTTGAGTGTGACCAGAGACTGGCACAAACTAATGTACTTGCAGCCTTCCTTGGCACAGCATGCACTCTTGGACACTGTTCTTGCCTTGCAACCGCAGCTGTCAGTGGCTTTCTCGAGGGATCTTTTTTTTCTTCTAGGATTCTAGGAATCCCAGCCCCAGCACAAATCACAGAAAAGCCATCCAAATGTTCAATCAACAACTAACTAAGCAGTCTACAATGGCATCCAGTAGTCTGTACAGCTCAGAAATCACCCGTAAAAAACACCACGTTTTTCCCCTGGCTGCGAATGCTCAGCACCCAACGCCAAAGTAGGGGCCCACCCATTGACATTCAATGCGCTTCCCACTCTGCCGCACCTGCACGGAGCAAGGGAGCGGTCGAATCAGAGTGGCAATGATAGCGGCCCGATAGCCAAAAGAACACAACAAAAACTATTGATGGTAATATTATGGTAGTAATATTATGGTAAGTATAAATGATAATGGTAATTATAAAATATCATAAATGATAATAGTTGGTATGATAATACTATAATGGTAATCTAACAAAGGGCAATGATGATGATAATAGAAAATAAAACGGCCAAACACCTCGTCTTGCCCGAGGCACTCTCAAAACGCTGTAAATGATTGGTCATTCTGGCATTCCTGAAAATCTCAGCTAGGGGACCTGTGTGCGTCATTGCACAAGTCATCCTGAACCTTATCATCCTAGAGCCGTAAAACTCTAAATTCTAAATCCCAAACCCTACATCATCATCATCATCATCATCATCATCATCATCATCATCCTCGTCATCATCATCATCATCATCATCATCATCATCAGCATCAGCATCAGCATCAGCCTTAGCCTTAGCCTTAGCCTTCCCTGAGCACCTGGATCTCCATGCATCGCTCCGCATTACGAGGTAGGCAGTATAGCCTCAATGGGATCGAAGCATGATATCTTCATACCTGCTAGGCAAATGTCAAGGAAACAGAACTATGACTTTCTGGTGCTTAGTACGGAATGGGGGAATGAGATGATTATTAGTAGTATCATTCTCCCAGTCCCTACTAGGCACCAGTAAGATGAAGAATGCTAGTTGTCCAGAGTTGCAAGTTGATCCTGTTCGATGATTCTGACATTTGCTCACCATGCTTATGATCATTGTCGACAATTGTGAATCTGATTCTGATCAATGACTATGACTGAGTCTAGCTATGACTATAATTGTGATAATCTGATTCTGACCAATGACATTTGGCTGGGTCAAAAAATATCAAAGAAATCCTATCGATCACAGCCACCCCCTATTCCCAGGACGAGTCTTGGGAATGGCACTTGCCCGTTGGCTCGAACTGTTCGCCTGCGGCCACGATTATCATCACCCCCAATAAACATCTGCCCTTTTTGGGGGGCTCTGCCCCCAATTTTCTGGGCAAAACATGGCAAAACTACAAGGATTTTTTCCATGTCTCAGAAGCCTTGAAAGATAAGAACAACCACCACAACCACCCAGGCCCTGCCTGGGTTTGCTTTGCTTTGCTGCCGCTCGTGAGCTGGGCACAGGGCCGGAGGAATTGGGAGGCCACTGGGACACTGGGATGGAAGGCCTAGTTCCATTCAGCTTCCATGCAATCTATTTGTTCGCACAGTTTCATTGGAACTTCTGAAAGCTTGGTTGAAGATCATTCGGTTTCCAACTCGCTTGGAATCTGAACATACTTGACACATCTGATACATCTTGATTCTTGGGAAATCCGATGTCATGCAGAAGTCCAACCCCTCTCCTCGCCTGCGAGTTGTTCCCTCACCTTTTTGGGAAGGACCTTCGCAGATGCCATCGCCTTCCAGCAACGAAAATTGGCCAATTTCCAAGACGTCCCCAATAGTCACTATACCCACGCCACTTCAACATAGCGAAACGGTGAATACACATATACTCCCTGAGAGCTGCTCCCACCCTGAAATTGCCTCAAACGAGCATTGCGTGTGATGGCAGTGGAGCGAGAAAAGAAACTAAATTCCCTGGGAATACCAAAATGCCGCGTAGAAACCCACATGTGAAGGACCTTTGTCCCAAATAGAAATCAGAAAATAACAAGCAGGCAATTCCTACCATGAATCCATCCTACCACCAATCACAATCCTCCTGGTCGTTTGCCCCAAATCTCCCATGTCAATTTTGGAGCAAAAGGATCCGCGGGAAATAGGAGCAACTCACTGAGCATCTGGAAGCCATCCTTCCCACTTGATTGCAGGAATAAGCTGCTTGGACTCACCATTCTTCGACCCCGCTGGAGTGCGGTGCATATGAGAAACATAGCAAAAAAGATCAACTCTCAATTCGAGAGATTGGCAAGATTTCCACCACGGTCTGTGGCAGTGCAGTCCACTAACACACTCGGAACCCAGAAATGATCAACGATCCCCCGAGAACCAGCAAAAATGACTGGTCCCCCACTGGTCCCCACTGGATCAACTTGGGGCCATCTATGGGCAATATCCATACGACTTCTGGGTTGCGATACGTGCACGGTATGCCAATGGAGAGTGAGGGCCTGACGGTCACAGCTTAGTGTCGAGATTAATCAGATTCCCAGCATGTGAGTTGTCGAGCTATTGGGAACATGTTGAGACTTACACCGACCTAAGCCAATTTACACCAACTAAGTACTGGAGATATTGATATACAGATATACAGATATATACAGTAAGTCAAGAAAAACATGTCTAGTACAGTCCATGACCCTCCATGACCCAAGTCTGGTGGAGGAAACACACTCCCAGCTGTGGCTTGGCTGTCAGGAACATCTTTGCTCACTACTCCGTCACGGCTCATCGTGATCCAAAAGACTTAGACTCCTTAGACCCTTCGCCCAGGCCTTTTTTGTGGGGGGTAAACCTCCCAAGATTTTGTCAGGAATCAAAAGGCAAGATTTTGTGTTTCATATGGTATTTCCATCTCACATATCTGACATTCTCCGACATATATCTGTCATTATCTGACATGATCACCCTTAAATTTGCCTGGTGCGACTATTTTGCCGCCATGCATAGTCGTCCTGTTTGGACGTACGTGGACCCACTCAAGGTGCTAGCAGCAGTGCTCAAGTCCACTCCACCTCTTCACGAACTGGATTGGTGGCAAACCTGCATCTGAATCGGCGAGCTCGGTCAGTTTTGACTGTATAAATTGATTGATGTTGGAATTGTTTAACTGTTTATGGAGTTCTGATGTTGGTGCTGGGATTTTACCCCAAAAATGTTGTGTCAGATGATTCTGCTTTGGAGATCCACAGCATTGCGCCGCGCCTAACTACCAAAGTGGGACAAAACTGACCTGGGCCAGGGCTTAGAATGACACCACCTGTCATCATTATGGTTCTCATCATCGACCTAGTGTTTTGTCAACAGTATCACTATGTTGATCAGTTTCATGGTCTTTCTCAATCCTTCTCGTTGTCCTTATCATTGCACAAATGTGGATGTATATGATGTGTACATTATATCTCTTTTAAAATTCTTTTATATATGACATAGATAGATATTATACATATATATATATATATTATGTGTATATATATCTATATATAATATTATATATAGTGTATATATAATATGTGTGTATCATATTTTTTGTCGAGTCAACAGACGACTTCCGATCTCACCTTGAAGGGTCGAGCCGTTGAGCTTCTGGATGGCCAGCGAGGCCTTGAATCCAAGGGTCGGCCGCAGGTCACCGTAAAAGCCTAAAGTCAAGTGATGGGATATCATGGGGATATGAATATATGATATTTAACATAGCCATGGAAAATTGCCCATTTATAGATGATTTTCCCATTAAAACCTCCATTTATAAGGGAATTCTCCATTGCTATGTTAAATAACCAGATTGTATAATATAATGAGATATAAGGGGAGATAATGGGATACAACTAAGGTTAACCCCATGTTTTAAAAGAAATGGTGGATCAATGATACCAATTGAGGGGAACACCTCAAATAATGATGTCATCTCCTGGTATATCTTTAATACCCCCCCTTTAAACACATGGTTTCATGAATCTGCGGTGGACATTTTATAAAATAGCCATTTGGGGTTTTCAGAGACACAAACTTGGAGCCACAAACTGCGGCCACTTGAAATGGAAGAAGTACAGAAATTGAACAGATCATGTGGTGTTTCCCCACAAACTGTCTTACTTTGCTACCAAAAGAAAACTGTTTCCAAATGACCAACGGCCACAGATCCAATCTGACCACTGATGGCAACCCAAATCGTGGCCTCTTCCATGGTCATCATCTCAACCAGTGCGTGAGCTTCAGTCCTAGTCGGTTGGTGGTGCAGGGCTCTCTGTTTCCTCTATGAACATCACCACCCTTGAACCACCAAAACATCACACTCACAAAGTGATGTCTTCCCCGAGAAAAAAATCCCCCAGAAAATTGAAGAAACCTGGTTAGTGCTTGCTGACGGCGACACCAGCAACACCCAGCCTCCCGTGTTGTGAGAGCAATCGCATGCGACAGACTTGTCCGCATTGTGTGAAGCGCGCCTTGGGACCCAATAGTGGTCATCCATCCTATAGTGGGAGTCCTTACTAACACTTCACTGCATATATATATATATATCCTATATATATACATATATATATACATAAATATATATATAGCTTATTTCCCTATGAAAATGGATTGATGACCATCCCCCGTCTGGTGGTTTTGGTTCTTCAACTTTTGACGCACGTTTTTTGTCTTCCAGACCTCATGAGTTGGGTTCTATCTTAGTTTTCAGGAGGATACCAGCCAGCTTGACCATATCCAACAGAGTGCCCCTGTGAATGCACTATAGCCAGCACTCCTAGTTGTTGCTTCTATTACCAACTGCTGGAGGCTAAACGGCTAAACCGCGTTCTTGTCGCTTTTCGCAGACAGCCTCCTGTCAGTTAAGACACATATTGAAAGCCACTAGTTGTATATAGATCATTTTCATTGGGAAAGACATGGATTTTCAATGATTTTCATATGTAGCCATTCCACATGGGACCTTGCACCCGGCTTGTGCAAATCCGAGCAACACGAAGTTCGGACTCCTTCGTCGTCAAGGGCAATCCTGGTCGCGCGGCAAAGCCAAACAAAAGCTGTTTGACCTGAGAATTCTCATGCAAAAGAAGATTTGCCCTCATGATGTTCATTCATCTTCTCTGTTTTGTTTTTTTCGGAAAATATGACTCTCAGACAAAGTGATGTTGCTGTCGCCAAGACTTCAAGCGCCGCACCTGTGACGTACAAGTTGCATCCGGGTCTCTGATCCTGGGAATCTGAAGCAACTGACAATGCCGATGTTCCAAGGGTTGCTATTGCTTACCACAATCTCCTCACTTCTCATGATGGTAAACCCTCACAATCAAAAATGCCTTAGTTTGGACAGAAGAAACCTCTACCACTTTGAACAACTGAATTATATATATCTTTAGTTTCAGAAATCCAGCTGCATCTTCACACCAAACCCCGCCCAAAAAAAAACATCACACCAACCCGTGACACATCAACACCTTCTCTTCCCCGCGTCCTTGCCAGCGTATTTGACCTTGATGTGGGACACTGCCTCTGAAAGGCTGCTACCATTCAGTGCCTCCAGCTGCTGAAAAAATGCCGATCCAGTTGGATGATGAAACTCCCGAAAATGACTAGAATCTAGAACCTGTGTCTGAAAAATGGGATTTGAATGGACTTCCAGTTTGTGACATCAGAAATGCTTGTTCAATGAGGACATTCGTCCGCTGATAACAAATCCTCAGAATAGTACATAGATGTACATAGATGTACATAGATGTACATAGAACCAGCCAATGCAAAAATTGTTCGAAACATTTCAGATACATCCTGAATTCATCATTCCTATGATCTGCCCCTGGCCTCAACAGCTTCCTGAGCCTCCGGGATCGAGGACCTCAACTTAGTGCAACTGGGATACCCCAAACAAATGCCAGGATTCACATGGAAAATCTTGGGAAATTGGTTGGAAAATCCAACTTAGATGGTTCTTGAAGTTTGTTCTAAGATATTTTTCAACGGATAGATGTCATTCTTTGAACAAATTGTCTCACATCCGCGCTTAATGTTCACCCATGCATGCCCATTGATGGCTGAATCCCAGATATCTGGTTTCTGGCCAAGGTACATCTGCACCAATGCAGCACAATCCACGTTCTCCCCAGTGGGCTCCATGACTTTCAGCCTTACGACCTTCCCATACTTCGAAAAGACCTCGGTGCTGTTCCGGCTCTGCTCCGTCGCTGGGATTCCAGAGGGACCCTGAGAGGTGAACAGCACGAAGCTGGAAGTCCGGGATTCCAAGTGGAAGTCCTCAAAGCCAAGTTCAACCACCATTGATGGAATGAAAATGAAACAACATGCTCAAAAAAAAAGAACCAAAAAAGGACAGAACGCAAAAATCGTTGCAAAAAAAAGCGCAAGCTCAGAAGTTGGCTTGTCAAACCCACATCCCAGCAAAAGGGGCATAGAAGAAGCGGGTCCTTTGACGTAGATGTTGTTGCTCAAGTTTTCAATGTGGTTCACTTCCTGATGCTTCATGCACAAGTTCTGGGCAGCAAGATTGTGGACAGCAGGATTGGGCCCTGCTTGAAATGACCTAAGTATCCAAAACCAGCTACATTTAGGTCATCTTTCCTAACTTTCCTAGTTCTCTGCAGCGATCCGACCTAGCAATTCTTCCAAAGAAATGGGTAGTCAATTGCAATGTTTTTCCAGAGGCTATAAAAACCATCCCATTCGGCACAAGATCAGTTGGTTGCTCATCAAAACCTGTATACCCAGCTGTTTGGAAATACATGACCTCAGTCATATCATAAAATCTGGAAAAATTTGGCCTCCATGTTTTTAATGGTATCATATTAATCATATTATACTCCAGTTTTAGATGCTTATCCTCCAGCTTTAGTGTCCCAGGGCCATCCCCGCCTTTTCTGCAAAGTGGATGTGCATCTCATGCAGCCCCCTGGGAGGCCGACCATCCAAGGCCTGAAACGCACAGCGACAGGTGCGCTGCAATGTTCAATGTGCATTAATGTTGTGTATAATTGCGTATATACATCATGTTGATTGATTGATATTTATGTGTAATATGTATATATACAGATACATATATATAATATACACATATAATATACATATACATATATATATAATATACACATATAATAAACATATACATATATATATATACATATAATATGGAGCAGATGGAAATTCTGAGATGGTTTTTGCCTGGACCAAGGTCTGTAGACCTGGGTGACAACTGACGCTACTCACAGCACCGCTGGCGCCTCCATTGCGTGAGACGCTTGTTCCACGGTGGCCATCTGGCAGGGCAGCTACAGCACCCCCATCCCAAGATATAAATTGTGGATTGTGATTCATATTCATATTCATATGCATATTCATCATCATCATCATCATCATCACTATTGCCATGACCAACACCATCACCACCCTTCTGAATGGACGGGAAATCCAGCCGCGCCCGCCTGAACCAAGGCTGCCATGTCCAGTGCTTTGGCGGGTGGCGACAGAATCCTGACGTGAGACCGGGACCCTTAAGGGTCCCCTTAAAACCATGGGAAACCATAGGAAAACCATGGAAAATGATAGGAAAACCATCGGTTCAAAGTTGGTTTGGTAACTCATCGAACTGTAGAACACTGTAGATATCCCCGCCATGAATCCAATCCTTAGCCTATAGTAAGAAACCAACTTGCTGTTCTACAGGGCAAACACTTGGTGTCTGGAATGACCATCCCCAGCTTTTTGGACACCATAAATGTCATGGAGGATATGAAGGTGATTTTGAACCAAACCCACAATTTTGTGTTATGATGTTTAGATATGTCTAGTAGATCGGGATATGCTAAAACACCCTGTTGATCGGGAAAAGTGTGCCGGAAAGGTTCTGCGAAAATCCATCGGGTACTGAGTTTTCTACATCCCATGCACTTGCTAATATGCCTCAAAAATTCTGCCCTACCAAACAAAAAAGCTTGCGTGCGTTCATTTTAGAGAATCACAGGCCACAGCCCGTTTCAATTAAATCAACCACTTCAACGACCTTCCAACCATTTCCACATCGCAACAACCGGCACCTGCAGCGCTTCACCACACCATAGGGCTTAAAGATCTCCTCCAAGTCCTCCTGCAATCAGACTCTCCTGGTCCTTCTGTGCTTCATAAAATGATCCGAAAAAACACCGTGGGAAATCTTGAAAACGAAAGGAAGGATGGAGCTGCAATGATTTTGAAGCCCAAGTTGTTTTGTTCCAAAGCTCTTGGCTTTGCGATTTCAGGCAGTGACAAGAGCTCCACAAACATTGCTGGTGACCAGCACCATGGCAAGTCCCAGAATTCTGCCGTCCTTCGTGTAGTCAAGAGGCAACCCCTTGACGTACAAGTTGTCTCGGCTTCTGGGATCCTGCCACCACTCTCCCCCCATTGGTGGGGCATCCCCTGGATCCCGGTCCCGGCCTTCCCGTAGTGTGATAGATATATTGGTGCAGCCTCACATCACAGCGGAAACGTCAGGGACGCGACCCTGAATTATAGGAGCCTATCCATCAACATTTTTTTGACTCCGGAGCCTCCAAGAAACCTCACAGCTCTGTATCCAGGATTGAGGGGCCACTTGGGGGGTTTTGACCCTCAGCATCTTGATTTCACCATACCCACCATTGGTGTGTCTTAGACCCCCGACAGGAGCTTCCGGTGAAGTCCCGTCCAAGAGATGGATAGCATTCTTCGCATCCTGGCTATTTTTTACGCTCAAAATGTCGAGTTTTGGATGTCAAGATGTCAAATGAATGGCTGTGGTCGATTCAAAATAGCCCTGCTGCCCATGATGATGAGGAGGAGGAGGGTCATCATCATCATCATCATCATCATCATCATCATATTACTACTATTACCATGACCAACACCATCACCACCCTCATCATCCAAGCTTTAAGACCGAGCAGTCGCCAAACACCACTTGGCACCTCCAAAGAGCACATACGGATCAATGCAGCGCAATCCTGGGACATGGCTGCAAGGCCCAGCATCAGGGCATAAAGTGATGATAATGGGATGATAATGGTATGATTGACCCAAGTTTCATTGAAATGGGCAGTGATCATCATCATCCCATATGGCTTCGATGGGAGGATATACAGTTTTCCCAATGTTCAAAACTGGCCGAAGGGTCGAACGACCCAATCTGTTGCTCCCAGCTGCTCCTGCTTGTGATCAACACTCCGCATGATTTTCATCTCCAGCACCTGGCATGCCGTGAATAGAAATCACTTACCACCATCATCCACCATCAAGTGGGTGGAGCCCATGAAGAAAAAATCAATGAATGAACAAGAAAACAAAAGAACAAACAAATTCATTACATCACAGTACCGTACAGTGCTGCTACACTTGACGCTTTACATTGCATTTCATGGCTGCGCTACCTTACCTCACATCAACGTACTCAAGGTATCCCAGCACACCTTGCCAGCCTTCGAAAAGGTGGCCCGCAGATGTGCTTCGGTGATCGAGGGCGGCAAGCCCTGGCCATGTCGTGTTGGTTTCTGAGGGGCAAAATCTTTTTCGGGATTCAAGGCAAATATGGCTACAACCTGCCTTTTTTTGGGGGGGGCAAACCCGTGGTTTCCATGATATTTGGAGATTGTATGCAGGAAGTTTCCAAAGATGGAGGTTCTGTGAACTTTCCATAGACCCACTTCACCGTTTTGGCTTCACATCAGAACTTGGGATTCCTCATTGGGCATCCCACAGCATATCCCAGAGAGATGCGCCGTACCCTGTTCAGGCGATAAGATCGATAAGCCCACAGAAAAATCATCATGACTCGTCCCCTTCAAATTGCCATAGAAGGTACAATGTGAGGCCCCCAAGATAGCTAAGTTGGTTTATAACTCCAATAACTATGGTTTATGGTACTTATAACTATAGTTACTGGGGCGAATCTAAACCAACTTAGCTATCTGGGGGGCCTCACATTGTAAGTTACCTTCATTTTCATATGAAAGCTAAGTTACCTTGGCTGCTTGGTTGTACCCATGATCCCATGTTGTCCAATGATATGAATCCCTGATAGCTAGGAATCCTAGGTTGCCATGCCATGAATCTCCCGGTTCCATGCGGGTTTTCTCCCTGAAGTCATGGGATTGATTTCTACTAAAAATCCCCCAAATCACCAGATTTTTTGCGACGCTTCGAGATTTCGTTCCCCAATGGCTGGTTTACGATTGTGTTTGTTTTACCCATAATACTCCTATGAGAATTCCATGAAAAAATCTGCCTTCACATAGAGATTGTTGCAGGGTGTCTTCTTCGTCTCTCGTCCTTTCGCCTTTGGACCTGGCCCCAAAAGAACATCGCCGAAGTGGCGATGGATAAACATCTGGTAATACGGTGTTGTTTTATAGGAATTGATCGGCATAAATCAGCATGAAAAGATTCTGAAAAGATCATTTAAGAATGCCCAAAACCAACCAACCAACATCCACATCATCCAAAAACAAATGGTTCAGATTCAGATGTGACTAAGACTTGGTTCTTGATGTTTTTGCATGGAAGATCCTAGATGATGCTGGAGGTCTTCAGCTCCTCAGCTTGAGAAATGCGAAACCCCAAGAATCCGATGGTTGATCATCATTATCGATGTAATTTTGATTTCGGATCACTATCCCAATCGTTTCATGGTGAGTCATATTGGATCATTTTTGGATCTCCAACGCCTGCGAAAAATCTTGGGATCTGCTGCACCTGATGCTTTCTTGGCTCCTCTGACGTCGGCTTCTGCAAATTTGACCTCGGCCAAGAATCCACCGTAGAAAGTTTCTGCTGCACAGCATGTCCTTCAAAAAAATAACATGGCATGGTAGTTCTTGATATTTCATGATGGCTGTTATTTTTCTGAATGATAGTTTATCATAGTTCAAAATGTTCTGAATGATAGTTCATGATTCATCATAGTTCTTTTCACTTGCCCGACTTGGCCACAGCATGGCCGGGTATGGCTCTAGTTTTTTTGACCCCAAACGGATGATTCTAGATCTGAAACAAGATCTGAAAGTGGGCCCGTTGGTACCCCGATGACGTGAGCCATACCCATTTTTGTTGGCCAAATCCTCGTTTTTTGTTCGTGAAGTTCCAATTTTGGACGGTTTTTTTCCCAATCTTTGCTGGTTAAATCTCCACGTAGGGGGAATCCTAAGTTGTATGTCTTAAATCCCTATTTTTGCTGGTTAATCTTCACATTTTGCAACACAGAAACATCTGCACCAAAACGATCCCAAACTGAGACTTCCAGCCGTCCAAGGGCCAGATCCCCAGGCCGCAACCACCTTCGCAGCCTCAAAACTTTCCCCCAACTCTTCCCCTCAGTGCCCTCAGTGCCCTCAGTGCCCTCGGTGCCCTCGGCCTGCTCCACACTCTTCATCTTTACCAAGGCACACCTGAGATTTCGGTCCGATTCATCGGACTCATATTGGATCAACTAGGCTCCTGACGTCCGGCTGCCACCAACAAAAACTCCTTGGTTTCGGGGTGAAAAAAGGCTTCGTGCCATTGAGACCCTATCAGTCCACGGAGAATGTGGTGGGACAACAAACCTTTGGGGGTTTCCGTCACCCAAATGGTTTTTAGCGGGATAAGTATGGCACAGCACCAGCTTCATAGCCAAGCATCTGCACGCCGTCACCACGCCATACTGTGAAAATGCCTCATCACGCAGTCGGGATGCTGGGAATAGTGAATATGATATACAATCTATTGAGTCTTGCCAAAACCAATCAACACTAAAAATTGATTTGTTTCAAAATGGGATATGCATATGTAGGTCACAACTTTGAGACTTTCGGGGAAAATCTACATGCAATTCCTCCCCTTTCAACCTTTCAACCTTCCTGGTTTTCAACCTGAGGGTTGCAAAAAGAAAGGCAGCAGCTCATAATCATAACTAACAATCATTTAATAGTGACTATCATAATCTATAACAATAACTATAATAGTTTGTAGTAAAAACATCATGATAGTAATATCCCTGCCCCGTCCCCCCAGGGGCAACCTGAGACAGTTCCTCCTCTGTGGCGTCCTGCGGAAAGGGGTGCCCCTGTCCATGCCCGGATGCCCCAAAGTTGGAAGTTGTTTATACGGTTTAAATTGGAAAAATCCGCCCGCACCGAAGGTGCTGGGGCGTGATCTTCCGGATGGCACTCGTAAAAGGTTACAGGTTTACCTGGGGGGGGGGTGGCATTTTTCGGCCAAAACCTCCTGTTTTTGATAGGTCGTGACGCTCGCCTTCAAAAAACACTGTAAAAAAGAGTACTGAAGACACCTGTTCGTGAACGCGCCCGTCCAAAATCGGCAAGCGAAAAGTGAAAAAAACCCGTGTTTTTCAACTTTTTGACCTCAATTTTTTGGTTTGCAACATCTTTTTTTGCGGTTCCGCAGGTGGCCGGGCCCGGAGGCGGATTTTTGAGTTTTTGGACCCGTTTTCGGACTGATTTTCGTCGTTTTGTGATAGCAGAAATACTGGTTTTTACAGTGTTTTTCTGTTTTCTGCATGCTTGACGGCTAGCTTCAAAACTTCCAAAAACATCGTAAATTACACTGTTTTATGTTACGGTGTGAATGAAAACATCGTAAATACCAGTGTTTTTTGACGTTGGATAAAAAAACACTGTAAATTACAGTGTTTTTGGCCACCTGACCCTCAAAAACCATGGTATTTGCAGTGGTTTCTGCTTCTCACCGCGCAAAAACACTGTAAATAACAGCAATTTCGCCGTTTTTTCATGTTTTTCGTTATTTTTTGAACTGCGTTGGTCCGCTATACATGGCTATCAAATTCTTCGCGTTTTTTTTTCCGACAATCAGTACTTTCGGATGTTTTTGGTCTCAATGGCCGACATCATTGGCAGTTACGAGCGGCTGCCCAACGATGCGGTGCGGGCGGTTGCCGTCGCGAAGCGACGTGAATATGGAAAATCCTGGGCCAAATATGGACAAAAAATTGAATCCCTTTGATTTTTGTCGGGGATACCGCTATGATTTAGACAAACTCAGATCAAAAAATCGTGGGCGATGCCGGAAAATTCTTAAAATGTCTCCACGACTATTCATGAAACATCCACAATGATGCAATTCATCTCATCCCACCAGTGTGGCACTGCTGGACGCTGGGGAAGCTTCTTCTAAGACTGTTTGGAGCTGAAAATCAGCTTCAGGCAGTGAGATTTTCTGCACCTAAATGATCCCTCAACCTCACCACGCGGCGAATAACACCTTGTGAAGGTTTCCCACGAACAGGTTGCTGTGCTCAGGCTCTATCGTTTTACCTGCACATCCAGCCCAAAACAAATACCTGAAACATCTCTCGCATCCATCTCTTGTCGACTCATGTTTGAAAGTCGGGAAAAGATTGAACATGTATGAACATGTCATGCATCCATATCCCACACACCTACAAATCCAAACGGGCCCAACAAAGCCTGCGATGATTGCAAGTGCAGCACCATCTTTGCCTTTCTTTCCTTTGATGCGATTCCTAGCATTTCTTGGAGGAAACGATCAAAAACTGCACAGAATTTCTGCACAACCTGGTCGCAGACAGAATCTCCTGGGGCGGTAAGGCCATCAGATCAGTAAGATGGCCATCAATTTGCATCAATTTGCATACAGTTGTCATCTAACCATGTCAGAACTGACAGAAAACCACTGAAAACCCCACAGAACTGGACGATCCGATCAAAGTTCCCTCTCATCATTTGCCGCAACACAGCCAGGCCGACTGCTTCTTCTCTTCACAATTTTCCTGTTCCAAAGCCTTCAAGGTCACAACATTCGTGGGTTTGGGCACAGTGCACGACCGCCCCTTTCAGTTTTCAGGTGTTCAAGCATTGAGCCTATCAAGTCAGAGTGTGGTCATGGTCACATAACTGACACAATGGTAGGCCCCGCCGCCCCGGCCGCCCGGCCTCCGGGTTGCCAGCAAAAGGTTCGACATTGGTATGGGCAACGGCATCATTCTCAGGCGGAGCTGCAACTCCACCGGAAACTTCTCGGCCCTGTCCGGGAACACCTGGCAGCGAAGGAAAACAGAGGCACTAAAAACAAACGGCAGTGGTTGAAGGGAACAGCTATGTGGTTTCGATTTCCAAAGTCGGATGTAGCTTGTGTGGCACCCTGCTGGTGATTGCGATCAGATGCTACATACATGACATAACATAACATCACATAACATCACATAACATAACATCCATAACATGCATAACATACATAACCCACATAACATACATAACATACATAACATACATACCGTACTATACATACTATACTATACATACCATACTATACATGCCATAGCATACGATACCATACCATACCATACGATACCAGACCATACCATGCCATAAATACCTACCTACCTACCTACCTACCTACATACATACATACATACATACATACATACATTATTTGCATTACATTACATTCAATTACATTACGTTATATACATTACTTTACATTACATTACATTACATACATACATTAATACAGTAATACATTAATACATTAATACATTAATACATTAATCATTAATACATTAATTACATACATACATACATACATGCATACATACATACATACATACATCCATTACATCCATTACATCCATTACATCCATTACATCCATTACATCCATTACATCCATTACATCCATTACATCCATTACATCCATTACATCCATTACATCCATTACATCCATTACATCCATTACATCCATTACATCCATGACATCCATGACATCCATTACATCCATTACATCCATTACATCCATTACATCCATACATACATACATACATACATACATACATACATACATTACATACCTACCTACCTTCCTACCTACCTACCTACCTGCCTGCCTGCCTGCCTGTCTGTCTGCCTGCCCTGCCTGCCTGCATGTATGCGCATGCATGCATGCATACATACATACATACATATATATATATACTGAATATATTATCATCAATGCTCTTCTGAACTTGACGCTTGGTTTTAGTGAATGCCAGTGCTACTGTTGTTCATTGTCACTGTATCACTCTTACTGTTTCTTCTGTGATTGATCTACAACACCTGCCACAAGTCTTGTCATAAGCTTCGGGCTTTCTGTCGCGCCAGCCCCGTCGGCCATCGGCACCAACATACCTCCCCAAACGGGACCTGCCACAGAGTTGCCAAGGTGAAACGCTCCAACAAATCAGAAATCCCGGATACATGGAAGTTTTATTGTGGAAATCATTGTTAAATGAAGATTTCTTCCATTGGACTCAGTTCCCTTCTGCCTCCACAGCCATTTCCGTTGCATGCGTTGCATCCGGTGGATCCGCAGGCACCGCATCCGTTGCATGCATTGAAACCATTGCAGCCATTAAATCGGTTGGCAGGCACGGCACCTCACAGGTCAGCTGGGGAATCCCCCAAAAAGAGGTTGGTCCATAGGGATTTTCCAGATTTCCTCATCCTCAATATATTGGGCGGTATAAGTACCAGTAGTACCGCACAAGGCAGTGGCGGAAGTTTCAAAAATAGGAAACCTATAGGAGAGGTTGGTTGTTGTGAATCACGGATGGCAGAGCGAATCCACTGATGGAGTGGTCACCTCACGACAACTGCTGGATGTAGCGTGGTGTAGTGCAGCTGTAGTTGTAGTTGTAGTGTAGTGTAGTGAAGGTGTAGTTGTATGTAGTGCAACAACTGTAGTGTGGTTGCAGTTGCAGTTGTGGCTGTGGTGTAGTGTAATTAGTGTAGTTTACTGTACTGTACTGTAGCCTTGTGTAGTCTAGTGTGGCATAGTGTTGAGTAGTCTGGTGTAGTGTAGTGGAAAGTAGTGTATTGTAGTTGTTGCTGGCTGTAGTGTAGCGTAGCGTAGCGTAGTGTAGCGTAGTGTAGTGTAGTGTAGTGCAGCGTAGTGTAGCGTAGTGTACTTTTATTAGTGCAGTTTAATTAGTGTAGCCGAATTTGTGTAGTTTAATTAGTGTAGTGTAGTGTAATGTAGTTGTAGTTGTAGTTGCAGCTGTAGTTGTAGCTGAGTGTAGTGTAGTGTAATTAGTGTAGTAGTGTAGTGTAGCGTAGTGTAGTGTAGTGTAATGTCGTGGTTAGTTGTCGTTGCAGTTGTACTTGTAGCTGTAACTGTAATGTAGCGTAATGTAATGTGCTTAGTGCAGTGTAGCGTAGAGTCGTGTAATGTAGTGTAGCTGTAGTTGTAGTTGTAGTTTCAGTGTGCTGCAGTGTAATTAGCGTAGTGCAGTGTAATGTTGTGTTGTAGTAGTAGTAGTAGTAGTAGTCGTAGTCGTCGTCGTCGTCGTCGTCGTCGTCGTCGTCGTCGTAGTCGTAGTCGTAGTCGTAGTCGTAGTAGTAGTAGTAGTAGTAGTAGTAGTAGTAGTAGTGGTAGTGGTAGTGGTAGCGGTGGGAGGAGGAGTAGTAGTAGTAGTAGGAGTAGTAGTAGTAGTAGCAGTAGCAGAAGCAGTAGTAGTCGTATTGGTAGTTCTTGTTATTGCTGTTGCTGTTGCTGTTGTTGTTGTTGTTGTTGTTGGAGTTTGTTGTTGCTGTTGTTGTTGTTGCTGTTGTTGCTGTTGTTGTGTAATTAGTGTAGTGTAGTGCAATTCGATGTAAATAGATGTAATTAGATGTAACTAGATGTAATTAGATGCAATTTGACGTACTTGGATGATTTTAGATGTAATTAGATGTAATCAGTGTAGCGTAGTGTAATTTGTGTAGTGTAATTTGTGTAGTGTAATTTGTGTACAGTAATGTAGCGTGGTATATTTGCATTTGTAGTTGTAGCAGTAGTGTAGCGTAGTGTCGTGTAATGGTAGTAGTAGTTGTAATTGTCTATCTATCTATCGATCTGTCTATCCGCAAGCTTGAAAACGCAGCTATTCTGCAAGACTTCCTCAGCTTTTCAATTTGACAACAGCAAAAACGCAGCTACTTCCTCAGCTTTTGAACTTGGCAACACCAAAAACGCAGCAATTCTGCGAGAGACTTCCTCAATTTTCGAAGTTGACAACATCAAAAGGAAGCAATTCTGCGAGACTTCCTTCAAAAATTGAAAGTTGAGTGCAGAGCTGACGGCCTCGTACCAATGCATTTTGCGATTTTTCCATTCCATGTATCTAAAGTACTGCGCCTGCCACGCAAAAGTGATGCCAGGTCATAGCAAACCTGAAGATCTGATGCTCCAAAATGTAACCCCTCTCAGGAAATCAGCGCCCTGACCTCCTAACATCTCTGATGATGTCTCTTGTAGTGCGCCTGTTATGTGACATGCATCTTTCCAGGTCGTCTCCACATGTCCCACGCCTGCCATCGTTTTTGGAAATGCCACAAAACCCTCACGTTCTGCTCACTTTCCACAAAATGCAGAATCCCTTGCACCTGCCAGGCAAAAAACCACATCTGAACCTTCAAAAGTGATCCGAGCATTTGGTGCTTGTACATTTTGACTTGGAAATGTGCTTCGCGCCAAAATGGTGTCCACTTTTTCGACATCGCAACTTCCGGAGGTGCTCCGAAGTTGGTGTGCTTTGTACATTTTGACTTGGAAATGTGCTTCTGGCCACACCGTGGCGTCCACTTTTCGACATTGCAACTTCGAAAGGTGCTCCGACGTTGGTGTGCTTTGTACATTTTGACTTGGAAATGTGCTTCTGGCCACAGCGGCGTCCACTTCTGGACATCGCAACTTCCAAAGGTGCTCCGATGTTGGTGTGCTTTGTACATTTTGACTTGGAAACGCGCTTCGCGCCACAGCGGCGTCCACTTTTTCGACATCGCAACTTCCAAAAGTGCTCCGACGTTGGTGTGTTTTGTGCGTAGTTTTGACTTCGTGCTTCGCGGCACAACGGCATGCACTTTTTCGACATCTCAACTTCCAAAAGTGCTCCGAACGTGAGGTGCTTTCTACGTTTTGACTTGGGTGTTTGAAGCTGCTCGGATTCTCGCAGTGCGGCGCCTAAGCAAATCACACCACAGGCATCACCTCCCGAGACCATGGCAACTCTTTGGGTGAGAAAAGGAACCACCTGCTTCATCTGCTTGGGGCGTCAAAAGGTCAGCCTTACAATCCATGAAATCAAATGAAATCATATAAAATTCCACCAAAAACAAGTTGGTCCTTAGTGGAAACTGATGGTTTCCCCAGCTCCAAAACTTCTGTTCGCTTCCGCTGGGCTGGGGCCTGTGAAGCCGTTGCCACGAACCGGGCAGCCTCCTGTGTGAGCACCGCCATGGGCCAGGCAGCCTTCCGCAGCAGCCATTAAAAACCCCCAATGACTTGGGCGATACACAGTTTTTCTTGGCGATATCCTCATGTTTGTTGACTATATTTATAGATCTATATAGTATAAATATCATTAAATATGCCAGTTCTTGCTGTTGAAATTCTGATGTTGTAGTTTAGTTTCCGTTTTTTTCTGATGAAAGGTCCTGTTTTTGGTGGTGAAATGCCAATCTCTCCCCATTCTGCGGCTTTCCGTTTTGCCATGCCGTTTGCCATCGCCTGTCGGACCGCAGCCTGCACAGCTGCAGAGTCCCCCGCAGCCATTGCAACCACCTGTCGCACCAAGGCAGCAAGGCAGCAAGGCAGCAAGGCAGCAAGGCAGCAAGGCAGCAAGGCAGGCATAGCTTCCAGACCCGCCTGCCACACAAACGCCACAGTTCAATGCAATGTAGGCACCTGGAGCTGCAAAAAGAATCCTCTCACGGTGATGCTGGTCTGTTCGGTACATCTCTTGATCAGAATGGGTCCTACTTGGACTGATCAATGAATTCCAAAGCCTTCAAGAATGTTCCAAAACCAAGGGTGGATGAAGTGCTTTGTCAAGCAATCCAAGAACCAAGCTTCCAGCAAGACAGCACAAAGCCAAATGCTACACAGATTCGACACATGGGATGATCTTCACCCGCTTCACCAGCGGAAGCGAAAAACAAGGCCAAATTCCGCTCAGCACGAGCTAATGTTGTCGCATTTTGTGGCTGAGTGTTGGACCACGGCCTCCTTCATTGACCCCAATGATGTAATTGCCACATCCACCTTGGTCGCAACCATGTCCTCTTGGAGAACTGGTAACCCACCACTGAGGTCCGGTCTGTTCGCCATGGTGCCATTGCAAACTCATGGCGGACAGAGCGCTGAAATCTGCTTCTGTGCTTTTGTCTGTTTGGTAAATTTATAGCGGTTTATCACGGCTTGAAACCAGCAGATTCGGAAATGATGGATGATTTATCTGTGTTGGCGAAGTCATGTTCGCATGTGCGGATCACATAACTTGCATAACCTGTTCGTGAAGGCTCCGACAGGTGCAGGGACGGCATCTGTCAAGGACAACTTCTCAATCTCTGAGAGATTATTTCTGGCTAGTCCAGTCTCCATTCTGAAAGCAACATCCAGCAAATGCCCATGTGAAGAATTTTAGTTTTTGTTCTACATATCCTTTGCCTCACTGCATGAAAACTACGTGTTTGGTGCTCCATGTACCACAACAAGACTGACAATGTCCAAAAAATAAACAGAACAAACTACCATGGAATTGCAAAGTATAGCTGCCATTGTTTGAAGCTAGCAGAATCCACTTGTTCAGCAAATCAAACGCAACCTCTGAGCAGCTCCTAGTATTGCAGCCACATCAGGGTGCACGCATGCTGGCTGTCAAAGTTGAAGAGACTCAGGAGTCGAACTGAGTTGAACTGCACCATGCAAAAGGGACTTCTCATGACGGCACAACTTTGCAATGAAATTTAGCTCTTTTTCTGCAGCGGAGCCTGTCCGAAATCATCAACTTTGGACGACCATCATGCCTGCACGATATAGCAAACCTCGGTTTGGAATGATCTTGGTACCATGCTCCCCCCGGTGGCCCAAAATGTTGGCAGTCACCCAATGTCACCCATGCACCGCAGCCACCGCGAAAACGTCAACACATCTCCAGCCTCTTTTGATGCCACTTTGGGTTCGAAACGTTCGCTATTCAAACAGCCGCAGGGGGTCGGGGGTTGTCTCATGTGTGCATGATGGCTATCGGAAAAGGACACGGTCCAGAATGGAATGTTGCCAGAAAAAATAAAAGGTGGTGCCCGCGTTTTCCAACGAAAAGCCAAACATCATGCAGTCTTCGAATCTCACACTGGTATCAGAGGTTTCATGACTATGACTAATAGCAAGTATGATCTTCAAGACAGCATTGCACATGTTTTTGCTATGCCATTTTGAAACAGTGGCTTGAAGCTGCCCCAACAGGATCTTGGTTGCTCGACCGTGGCGACGGCCTAGGGCTGTGGGTTGATAAATCCGGCTGGGATCTTTCGGTTGCGATCAAAGTGTCCAGGACATCAAGGTGGGCTCCAGGAAACATCTTCGAAATCAACTCATCTTCGCGCCTTGATGCGGGCTTCGCTCGCGTCCATGGAGGTAGGGCCCAGCAGCATGAAAAAAACACCGATTACTGATTACTGTAGGCAATTCATCAATTGGCCTATGTAACTAACTACCTTCTGAGCAAGATGGCCGACGTGACCCACCATTGCACACGGGACATTCCTGATATCAAAATCTCCTGATGGCAATGTGTTTTTTTTGAGCCTAGGCTGACGCCACCACAGGGGTGTGCTCTGCAGCCTCCAAATGCCAGTCTGTCAATTCTCAGGTTTTCAAAGGTGTCACATTGGTCAGAGCAGTTCGGTGGTGCTGTCCCTCAACTCGTGGGAGTCTTTTCGATCGGCCGTAAAGCGTGCGAGAACTTGAAGGGACTGCGGCGGCATTGGCACTGCTATCCCAATTTGCCATGCAGGAGCTGTTGATGTTGGAAAATCAGACCCCCTAAAATCTTTGCGGCACCGGTCACAGGTTTTGGTGGAATCGATGCCCCATTTTTATCAATTGGTGTGGGACCATAAACATCATTAAACATCCAGAAAGCAATAGAGGATCAAAACAAACGATTGAAAATGTTTGAAAGACACAACCTCCACCTCCACCAAAATCTGGGATCTTCATGAATATCTGCTCCGCTAAACCTTGCCCTTGCTGAAACGTTGCCAGCAGTGTCGAGCGGAAAACATCCGGGGAAAACAGGGAAAATATCAAGGGTCAGTGACCCGGGAAAACACTGAGTCGGTTGGATTCCCAAATCCCTGATGAATCTGATGGTACAATCACCAGTTGGAAAGGCCCACATCCAACCTTGAGAACTAGCTGCAGCATCTGCTCACTTGTTGGCGCCACGGGCAAAAGAGAGGTACGCTGTCCAGACAAAGGACACAATCTGAGTCCGCCAATACTGAAATCCCATGATGATTCCATGATCTCTTCTGGTAAATCAGTTCATAAAAGTTATGTTTTAGAACCTTCCCGGCTAAGCCTGCAGCCGTAGCTAGAGTACTGGCTTATATGCCCACAATTCCTGTTCAAACTCACTTTCCTAGTTATTTGTTGCTTACACTGGTTACACTCCTTTCTTACCCACAATTGCTGCTTGGATCGACTGTATCAACTGGATCAAAATCTATCAACCAGCCTAGGATCAATAAATGCGTTTGTCTGAAAATGGGTACACCCAATACTTTGATCGTTCATCATCACTTTCCCAAAATCGATCTAGACCCTCCAGGACTCCAAGTACCTCAAAAAAAGTGGGGTAATCTACCCATTTGGGACTTTTACCATCATTTACCCAGTTTCACGGCTACTTGGAGGGTCTAAGTATCAGCACCCTCCGCTAATCAAACGCGGCAGACAGCCACGGAGCTGATTCCTATCCCCCAACTGAGGCTCCACACATGCCGCACAGGCAGTCGCAGCCAGAGGGGCACGGAGAAGCAGACCAGGTCGGCTGGGCCCCAGACACGGAAGACGTCGTAGACGTCCTCAGAGGTGAAACATGGGATTTTCCTGGGATGTTACTGGGATGTGAATGGATTCTTATGATATTATATATATTATATATTTATGGTGCTGCATTTTGATGGGACTTTTCAATGGGAATTCGTGGTATTTTAATGAAATGGTCATGGGATTTTGATGGATTTTGTTTGTGTGTGTGTGTGCGTGTTTTACATGGGATTCAAATGGAATTTTGGCCATTGGAGTGTGTCCCAATATGTTCCAGTTCAGTTTTACGTTGTAGAACCACATGATGTTTACTTGATCTCGACTGCATCAGATTTGCCACTAATAACTTGCAAGCTTGAGATTCAGTATTGACCCCGGACAACAACCCCCCTGGTCCATGGGTGTTTGATGGTACCAGAAGGTGCGTTGCATAATTTTTCATGCCAGGAACCTTGAATCCATAGAATCCATATAGCAGATAGATTTATGCAAAGGGCAGCGACCTTGGAACCATTGGAACCCTTCTCCCGTTGTCCTTGTTCCAGTTCTTTGTGTAGTTTCCTCAGGTGTCACTGAAACACCAAGCTGAAAGTCTTCGATCCGCCCGTGGCTTTGTGCCCTATCTGGTCCGCAGCCGAGCGGCCAATCCCATTGCTGACCCAAGCGCTGGCGTCCCAGGTGTTGCTGAAGACGCTAGCCTTGAAGACGTAGAAGGTGGGCAGGTAGACGCAGGTCCTTACTGCGAAAGGCGGTAGCCTTCAGATGTACTTTTTGGGTAGCTGTCCCAGACTCCCAGACCGAGTCTATGTATGTTTTGCGAGTAACACTGTAACTTTACTAAAGAAACCTGCCAAAAAACAGGTGCTCATTCAAGAAACTCTAGGAAAGGACATGGTGAAATCCCCATGGCATCATGGCTGAGGCCCAGACAACATGCCAAGGTCTAGGGCCTAGGGTGGGTGTGGAATGATCTCGTTGAGCCTTTGGTAGCCTGAAATCCCAAACTGTTACTGTAAAACTTTGGATCAAGTCCTATCAGTCCTATCCAAACTGCAGATATGTCCTGAGAGGACAAGCCTTTTTTGAATCTGCCACCATCTTTTTTCAGCGAACCACAGCGGCTTCCGAGTCCCCAAGCAGTTTGAGCACCAAGGGCCATGAGTCCGGGGCCATCCCGTAACTTCGCAGCCCAGGGCTGTGTGGTAAACTTCTCCTTGGATGAAACCAGCCATAGCATGCCATAGCCATCATAGCCATGATCACCTCTTGACCCAGCCATGGTAATCCCCCCAGATCTCTCCAGCTGCGATAGCCAGCCAAGTCACTACACCCGTGAACATGCGCTTGAAAACATTCACCTGGTGCCCGTGTTGTCAGAGAGATCTCAGCAAATAGTTCATGAAACATAATCAAGGAAACGCTTGATAAAAATCCCTGTTTTCAGGGTATGGTTCATTTACACCCTTGCTGGGGTGTTTTCTATCTTTTCCAGACTTGCACTGTCCTTATCGGCTGCTGGTCACCAATCCTTCCAAAGCAACGGCACCATGTGACCCAGTGCCCTTCCCGCAGTCCTGGTACCAGTACCTCAGTATGTGAACAACCACCTGCCGGAATCTGCCACAAAATTGGCTACCACTAATCACCCATCTGTTGAGCTGGGCGACTGGAAAGCGCCCAAATAGGCGGCGCCAAAGAGGCAGAAGACCTGAGCAGTGGGCTACGGTATTGACCCATCCCCTGGTTCATTGGATCCTGTCCAATAAGGGTGAAAATTTTGCGAAGACAAAAACACCAACGATAGAGATCTCTTGGTGATGAGATTTGGGGATGGGTCAAAACCCTGGTACCTAGTGAACCCCAAAATAGCTGGTAAATGGATGTTCATCCCATTAAAAATGGTATTAATAGGTATTGATCCATACCCATTTGACTCCGAGGCACCAAATTTCGCTTCCAATCGACTTCAGTGATGGATTTGCGCTCAATCACACACTGCGCTACGAGATCTGCAGCAGATGTCTTCACCGTCGCGATGATCAAATTGTTCCTGGGTCGGCTGGCAGATCGATGAAGTAATTGTATAAGTATTTATGTATATATATATATATATAAGTATATAAGTAAATTTCACCAGTTGGGATTCATGACTTCCAAAAAATGACCCGTGGCTCTTGGAAAATTCCATTCTTGTTCAAAGCCAGATCCCATATCTATCCATAGTTTCACTACCAAGTTGCGCCGACGGATAGGCCTTGGCGAAAGCCACGTAGGACCACTTGCTTTCAGCCGCTTCCTGCACAGGACATGGCCTGAAGAAACTCCTTTCGGTGTGGTTCATCCAATGTGGAGTGCATGGTGGTCAATAGTTGGCAACTAGAGAAGCCATTATCTCCAAGTATGGCCATCCAGTCTAGAAGTAACCAGACTTGCTTTACAGTGGAAAGTGGAAAGTAGATTTTAAAAAAAGTCCTGTTGGAAGGGCCACCGGAGAAGATCCCACCTGGGCTGCCATGGTCGCCTTTGAACGAAAGCCACACGATCCGCAGGTGCTCCATCCTGTCGAGAAATCGATAGGGAGATAGGGAGATGGAGATGCTTTCAAAATGGAGATGGAGCAATTTCCAGGCCATGGAATTCATTGAAATTCCATATCCACATATATCCACTTCAAGACTTAGAGGTCACAGTCACATGTGGAAATATCCAGTTGTTTCCTCGCCATGGCTATCATGGCTACACCTTCCCATGCATGGCCGTCACCTCCTGCCAATCGCGGCTGGCGCCGGGCGAGCAAGCGCAGGGCTGACCTGCAACAAAGGGATGCCCAGGGATCACGGAATACCCTCTGGTTATGACTAGCCATGGTATTTCGATGGCCCTAATCGAAATAGATGGTAGTAAACACCGTTCTTAATAGCATGGTGGATCTGTCCATGGCAAAGTGAGGCAGTCATAACCAGATGGTTTGCCATGTTCAAAGTAGTGGTATAGATCGCCAGAACTCCCATCGCATGAAAAAGCGTGTCCTGAGCATCTGGCATCGGCTTGTGCTCGCGGTCTCACTTCAAGTTCCAACTGGGGGCCCAACTGCGGCAAAACCACTTCTGTGCCGTCAAAAGATGATGGTGTGGTATGGTCATCATTTGTCATCCACTATGGCTATTAGCCAACCTCTATTCATAGATTGATGATGATTGACCATCCCCTCAGTATGAGTACAGAATCCATCTTTTGACCCGGAAAAGCGTCCCAACCCCCAACCCCCGGTCGCATCTTTTGTCAAAAGCGATCGGGTCGAAGGGGCGGATCGAGTTGCACCTGGCTTCAAGTCTGGTTATCCCAATGAGAAACCCCAATATCACCAGAAATGGGTGGTATAAACTATCTGGTTGGTGGTTGAGCCTACCCCTCTGAAAAATATGAGTTCGTCAGTTGGGATGATGACATTCCCAACTGAATGGAAAAATGAAAAATGTTCCAAACCACCAACCAGCTATAAACCATCCCCAAATGGTAGGTTTATCATTGGGTTGCCCACATTACACTCTGTATATAACACATCTTGTGCAAACTTCCAGACCCAACAAACCTACAGTCCCGAGACGCCACCTTTTCCGTTCGCCTCTGGCGGCTTTCGACCTTTCCCCTGGCGACCGTGTCAAACACATCTTTCAGTCTCCGGAACAAATGACCGAAACGAACAATAATCAAAAGAATGATTATAAATTATCAATTATCATCAATGATCATCGATGATCATCCGTTATCATCAATTATATATCATCAATGATCATCAATGATCATCAAATATAATCAATGATCGTTAACTATCATCATCAATCATCAATTATCTCCATCTTAGTGAGTTCTTGGTTTCTTCTCCCAGTCCCTTGTCAATTTGTCGATCCCATTTGGACTCCGACCCCAGGCCTTTGCGTCATCAACTGGGCGCAGTTCTGCCTGGCATGGCGAGTTGACAACCACCCACCCGATCGGAGATGCCACGTGGGTATCATCGCCAGTCTTTAGTTTTTATTCACCTTATGTATTGAGGAAAGGTTTAACGCTTGAAGAATTTGCCAAGAAACATAGATCACGTCATGATTGAGTAGGATAAGCAAAATCTCTGGCTCCCCAGGAGCAAGAAAAAATAGATGATGCATGCCTATGCCCATTCTAGGCTCACCAATATCATGAAGGCTGCCCTGGGCCTCGTTTGAGACGCCCAAGGGTGGTGGTACAATTCGGTCCTCAGCGCTGCGCAAGGGAAAAACTGTCAGTGGCATCATTGAACAGATCTCGATAGTGAACTCAGAGTGAACTCAAATTAGAAGCATGTGTGTCTTACCTGCTATAATTTAAAGGTATTGGCTAGCAACCAGTAGCCCTAGCATGGAACGACATGCACTTCACAGCCTCAGGATAGCACACAATATACTAGTTCTCCTGGGGTTACGATTTCTCCGACTCTTCTTTTTTTCGAGGCATTCCGTTTAGTTAAATCCTGTTGCTATTGTGGTACTCTTACGAGTTTTGAATGAGATCCAAGCCTGAAATGTGATCTATGCACTGACCCGGCCCCAAGGTCAACAGATTCTCCCGAGGCGCCAAAACAGCGGCAAATTTTCGAAGGGTTGTATCTGCTGGTGGTAGCTCCAACGTAGGTCTGGCATCGGAATGAATAGCACTGGGTGCTGCCTATAATGGTGTCATATCAGTCAGATGGCAGATGGGGATGAGGATTATCTTTGCGCAATCTTCATGATACCCTCTGGTAATTTAACATATCTATTGAAAATTGCCATTTATAGTGAGTTTTCCCGTTCAAAAAGGTGATTTTCAATAGCTATTTTAAATTACCAGAGGGTATCTCATGATCAATCATGACATTGATCCTGATGAAATGTGTGTGATGACATTCACAATGAAAATCACCATGACGACTGTAGACCGCTTCTTTGGGCTGCCGCACGGAATGTAGCATGTGTTTTGCGTAGCTAGCAAAGCCTTGCAGAACTCAACCTGCCGGAAGCTCAAAATCCAATGGCAACGTCTGTGATCAAATCATCAAATCATCAAATCATCAAATTCACATTGGCTATAAGACTACAAGACCCTCCAGGTATCCAAACAAAGGGTGAAATGGATATAATACCCAACTCATAAAGTATGAACCCTTTAATGGATGTATCACAAATGGGTATATTACCCCCACGTTTCATCATGAGGAGTTGACCTCTTCCAGCTCCCACCTCTAAGACATCTGGCGCCATGGGCTCCAAACTCACCGTCCTCAAGATGAGTTTGGATCGAAACAACAAAAATTCTTCGCAATGTGTTGAGGTAAACCAACTAAACCAGGTAAACCAAATGCCATAAACGGCCATAAATTCGGCCATTTTCCCATCCCACTTGGTGTTTTGAAATTGGGCTGGCTACGCCACATTCGATTCTCAGGGTCTCGATTTTCGATCCAGTGGGTTTTCGCCAAGACGTCGAAATGTCAAAATGGGTCGGAAAGTGACCACCAAAAGCCTGGATTTTCAGCTAGTCATGATACTCTACCAACAAAGATCAATCACTATACCATCGTACATACAGTTATATTAGCACATTGTTTAACGATTCCTATACCTTCAGTATTTAATGTCTGGGTTTGTTGGGCTTGTATTACATAGTTACACCTCTGTTTATTTGAAGGGAACCAAGTGGATTTCCTGCTGACTGGATAGTCACTAGGGATCCCTGCACAGTCTGCTCGGAGGTGCTAAGGGAAGCCAACTGCAGGGTATGCTGTGATGGTTGGGCTGAAGATGTCAGGAATTGATCATAATCTATGCTGCTCAATGACATTTTATGACAGTCAAAAGGTGAGACATGTTGGAGACATGGACAAAAAAACAACTGGCAGTGTGTCAAAACCTTGTACCCCTGGTGAACATCAAAATAGCTGGTAAATGGATGTTCATCCCACTAAAAATGGTATTAATACCTATTGATCCATACCCAACTGTGACTTTTGGTGTCGACCCCTCCTAGTGGCAATGGTTGAATCCGAGGCCCAGATCTGACAGCATTGGTGGCATTTGATTCGACAGCATGGGCCAGCAATCAGCAGAAAGGGAAGCCAACAGTCTTGTCCAAGCTTTTTTTGCCTTCTACAAATGGATCATGATGGTCTCTCTGGTCGGTGGTATCATCCCTTGCTAAGAAAAGTTATATGATGTAAAATAGTTGATTTGGAATACTCATCAAAACCTGATTAGGAATAAAACATAATAAAACCCCATTCATTTATTCTTGCTTATAGCCCCCCAACTGTAAACTTGCGACAAGATTAGTGGCGCTAATGATGTTAATGGTTGGGTTTACCGCATGGATGAAAAGTGAAAGTTTTCTTCAGCCCTTCTGCCTGCGGTGCCATACTTTCGAAGGATTTCTCACGGTACGCACTTTGACGTTCACTGCGGCCTTGCACGGCTGGTGGAGCCACTGCTCCCAAGGCTCCCAAGGCTCCCAAGGCTCCCAAGGGACACTGAGGCTTTCACTGGCGCCCAACCTGAGACCATACGCGACCAGCGGCGAACTCTGCAAATTTTGCCGAAAAATTTGGAACCACTGTGCTGCCGAACTTTGGAGCCACAACCGATTTGGACTTCGCCTGCGAACAGACCCGGCACCGGGTGGCACCGGGTGGCGCTGCTGGCCACAGCGCCGCTCAAACCTGCGTCCCGCCTTTGGTTTCTCGGGTAGTGGGTCCCGCCTGCAATCTGCACAAAATCTCAGTCAGAAACTTGGTATCAGCAACCCTCCAGTTGGATCCACCTTGGAGCTTCGCTTGAAGGCGGGCCTGGCATCAAACATAAAAGCCCGGGATCACAAAAGGCCTGGAGTTACCAGAGACAGCCATACTTCCAAGTCAGAATGGTATGAGTGATATGATTTACATTGATTGACCCACAAGATCAAGACTTTTTTGACCTGGTCTCAATATTGGTGCGGGGGGTAAGGACATGAAGATCAGCTGACAGCAATGGACTTTTCGCCCTGGTGGAACGATTGTTGCAGAGCCGGAGGATCCGAAGGTGTAGAAACGGGTGAGCTTGCAGCTTGCGACGCAATTTGCGTCCCAGTTGGTACATTATCACCGAATTATCACTATAAGAAATTCAGAGCATGGGGAATGGCCGGGTTGAGCATCAGGAGACAGCCAGTGTGTGAATTCGCTGGCAACTCCACCAGTCCAATCCCAAGCTCTTTGCTGAACCATCTGGCAGCTTCGATCGGAATGATCTCATCAAATTGGCTGTGAATCAGCCGCAAGTTGTGTGGATTTGGGAGGTCCAGGTCTAAATCCTCCTGAGATGCCATCAGCACAGCTAGGTCCAAATGGCCCCCACTTGAGATCTCGCTTCTGGCAATGGACAGCTTTTCGGCTTTGGACCTGGTGCCTTGATCTGAATGAAATTGCTCCTTCTCACACTCTTCAAGCTTTGATGTGATGAAAGATGTGGGCGGGTCCGGTAAAATTTTGCTCACCGTTTGCCCCAAGCTCCAGAGGCCTCCAAACATATCCAAAGCAAAGGATGGTAAGGACGATGCAAATCGAAAGAATCCGAGGCTCTCTTCACAATCTGCGGGTGACACCCAGGAGGCAATGCCCAACATTTTTCCTGTGCGTTCAGGATATTTGGAGGTAAATCCCAAGGCAAAGGGTGCACCGGCGCAGAGGAATAGCAAGGAGGCCCTCTTGATGGACAATTCATCCAGAAGATGCTTCACATCCTCCACTGCTGTGTCAAGTTGCCATGCAGCTGCAGTGGTGTCCGGCATGGCTGGGGGGCGAGAGGTGCCATGGCCAGGGCGGTTGCAGCAAATGAGCCAAAGGCCTCGTTCCAAAGCTTCGTCCTCCACAAGTGACAAACATCTCCTAGAGCTGCCCAAAGGATAAAAGACCACCACGGGGCGACCACCTTCCTTGCCAGCAGTGGCATACAAAATGTCCCGGTCATCATACTCGAAGCTGTCCTCCTGGATGGTTGTGTCATCCAAATCCATGCCTTGCAAACCCTGGCAGAATCTGATAGGAGGGCCGCTTCTCGTTCACCAGTCTTTCAGCAACATCTACTGGCAATATGCTTGAATGGAACGTGTAGCGGTAGCAAAGAAACCATGATGAATCCTACGCAAAGTGAAGTCCAACTGCCATCAGAGGGAAAATTTGGATGTGAAGCGCAAATGTTGCCAGTTACTGCCAGTTGCTATGAAATGCTCCATTTAACAGCTCCAAGTCAAAGAAAAACATTTCCCAGTGAAGCCTGCCGAAGCGCCTGGCGCCGAGTCGCGCGGCACAACCTGAGAAAAGCCATGGGATTTCAGTCCGGAAACCTGGCAAAAATCTTCCAAGACCAGGTGCCTTTGCATTGGAGACCGCCGTGCCTCTCCTGAAGGGGTCCACTGCGATTTTTTGAGTTTCTCTGTGGCATTCTGTGGCACTCTTCAATCTTCAATTTTTCAGCAGCTTGGTGGCATTATCACAAGTCTAAACCCTTCCCGGCCTACAAATAAACATCCCAAGCAGAGCAGCCAGTTCATGGGGACGTGCACATGGGATTCATTGTGGGCTCCCACAGTACTGGTCAGTGTGGTCTCCTTAAATCTTGTCCAGGCTCCGTCTTCCGCCGGGTCACGACTGGTGGCCTAGAACGGCTGGTGCCATTCCACCAAGGAAGGTGAACCAGCAGAGCTACATCCCTGTTCTGATGTGGGTTCGACCCCTAAAACAACCAAGCTAGCTTTGGAAATGGTAGGAAGAGGACATTCAAAATGGGAACGACGTGAAACAGCCATCTATTGGGTTCACACCCTGATGCCATGAAGCAGGTGTCAGCAAAATCTGAGTTAAGGGCTTCGTTGTCTCCTGGCAGTGGTTTGGGCCCATTCCAGCCATTGGTTGCTGACACAGATTCTCCAACCCAGGAGAAAGCTTGAAATCACACCAGCAAAAACTCTGGCATAAATGGCAAGTCAAAAATTTGAGGAATGTTTCTGGATTGGCTCTAAAATCAGGCCGACCCAAAAAAAAGCCCATTAATGTCATGACTCTCCCGAAAAAATCTCCTGCCCGAAGGTGACAGTGGCACTTCCTGGCGGATTGGTGAGTCACATCAAGGCCAACAAATATCATGGTTGATCATCAAGATCACCATCAAAGCCATGGATTCGGGATGATTGGGGCCGCATTTCCGCATTTCCATCTTCTGAGCAGCTGACGAGCTGGCTTGGTCGGCTTAGCCTTGCCCTTTGACCTGCTGTGACGCCAGAGATGAAAACTCAGCTGGCGAAGGGAACTTCCTAGGGCAAGTCCGGGCAAGTAGGTCGAAGCCAATTTTTTTCCCACGACGGCCCACATAGGCTGTGTAGCTCTAGATCAGAACAGGAACTTTGTTCTGTCCTTATAACGGCCCTTCGGCCTTTAACTGATCAAACAGGCATTTGGCCATAAACTCGGCATTGTTTCACGCTGAGTTTCACTACATCTGCTCCCATGTTTCAGGTAATTTCCCGGTTCCAGCGCGTGGCAGTGGCGGCTTCAGCTCGTGGCAGGGGTTGCCGAATGTGGTGGCAGTCATCCTGCCTCTTAGAGGGGTACTTGGTGTAAACAAGCCTCAAGGCCAAGCTGTGGCAGGTTGAAAAGTGCATCCTGGGCCCTACAAAGATGCTTGATCTAGTAACTAGATGTAACTAGATGTAACTAGATGTAACTAGATGTAACTAGATGTAACTAGTATCCGAAATGTGATCAAGTACTCTCTCAAACTCCAACCTGGGACAATGTTGGTTTCTGTTGGGTACATCCAGCGATGTGTCCAGGACAAAATGTTGCCAAAGCACTGCCAAAGTTTTGTGCGTCGTGCTTGGAAGGAAGCAGCGCAGCACATCAAATAGTACTCCTTACAGCTGGGCTGGGTTGATGAGTTGATACCTTTCTCTTGTTCTTTCAATAGGCACATTGCACAGCTCCAATGCTGACCGGAGCGCCCACATCCGGCGAAAGCGCTCATCAAACTCCTCCAGTCCCTTCCAGTTGTTCAGGTTGTCTTTCCATGCTCGCAGGGTCTTGGCATAGCTCACGCCGAAACTCTGCCAATCTTCCAAATGCCATTTCTCCTGCACCATGGACACAACCTTTGGTCATTTTTTTACTATTGAGCTGACTAAGCTATCCAATTTAGGGAATAGCACGGAATTTAACGAAATTTGAACCATTGTCATTTCTCTTCGGGCAGTGATTTTTCTTTTGGCAACAGTGGCAACTCCTCACATCGACGCGTTTCTTTTCCCAAGGCCGCGGTCCTGGAAATTTTGAGTGAAGTGTGACCTGAGAACGACAGCTGGGGGACCACAACTGGTCCCAAATCCACCATTTTTTGCAAGCCGAAAACATCACGAAGCTGACATGTGTTTGTCCAAGAATGTAGTGTCAAAAGGGAAAAAAACGGTTTGTATTGGTTTATCAACCATTTATCAAGTTTATATCTATATTTATTCATATACTCATAAAAAGAATGCAACTTCAGGTATTCCCATGTCCGAACAAGACCACAGCAACAGCTACAACAGCTACAACTTTTGTCTTTGGCGAGTGACATGGTGGGCAGTTCAGCCCCAGGAAAAATGTAGCTGTTCATCCAGCCGCCATGATTCCATTGACCACTTCTGCAGAAGCCAATGCTGTGAATCACCATGATGCCATCATCCTCGGCAGGACATCCTACATGGAGCCACCTATCACGTTGCAAAAAACGTTGCATGGAGCCATCTCCTGATTGATGTCTTTGTATTTTGCACTCACTGCAATGTGACATGTTTTCCAATCAAAGGAGTGAGTTGGCGCCTTCAGCAGTTCTTGGCATTTCTCGAAGTATGTCCTCAGATGGTTCTCCGGCAGTGTCTCCGCATCTCCCCCTACAGATCAGTGGTTCATACGGGTTCGTCACTGGAACACATGGCTGTGGGTCATGTTACAAATGTTCACAACCAAAAAGAAAATACTAGATCAAATGATATCAAATGATATCAAATGCTTGGATAAAACGTAGAGTCCGCTGGATGTTGATCCATTCCGACATCCAAAATCTATAAATCCCCCCATCCTTGGGATTTTGACGAATCCTCCAATTTTTTCCACCGAGGTTCTCGTAGCAGTTCCGGCCAATGTGCTCAAAGATCCCAACCTGAAGCTGAACGGCAGCAGTTCAACTTCGACAAGGGGCTCTCATCACCTATCTCGACAAGGGGAAACGCTGAGAAATGAATGTGGAACACTGCTATTACGCTTTCCAAGGAGCAGAGTAGATGCGATCGAATTTCTGGCCGGTCATACTCCGATAGTCCTGCAGGCGGATGTCCACCAGTGGATTCTTGAAGTGCTTCTTGGCGTATGTGTGTTGGTCCTGGGACACTCAAATGAGATGCACAGGGAGGGTTTGCGACAACTTCTCGGTCTGCCGGCAACTCAAAGTCCTCCACATGCAACTCTTTCGACTATCTCAGATCATCATCATCATCATCATCATCATCATCATGGCAATAATTGAGTACCAACCATAATTATATATATATATAACTTATAACTATTTATGACATCAATCATGGTCTCTAAAATTCACTCAAATAGTCATCGAATCACCAAAAAAGATCTGCACAACTTTTCGCTCCGCATCTCCTCGGAGAGTGTGACTCCAGTCACCTCCACACCATACTCCGTGGCCATGAGATCTGCCAGGGCACCGAAGCCGCAGCCCAACTCCAAGACCTTCATCCCTGGCAACGATGGCCAGGTGGCTTATGGGGATGGATGTGGGCTGAAAATCATGGGAAAACCCACAGAAACCCAAAAATCTGAAAAAAAAAAATGGAAGGATCTCCAAAAATGCTGGTGGAGACAAGCATGGTTTGTCCATTTTCCACAGGAAAATGGCCATGTTGGTGGATCTGCTGATGTTTCAATGAATCAGTCGCATGTGCGGCTGGGGTCTTTTGCGCGCATGCTTGCACTTTGAATCTCCAAAAAAAAAATCCAGGTGCTCTGAGCTTTGGTGGTCCCAACCCTGCCAACTATCAAAACCTCAAGCCTTCCAAAGCATTGCTGGGCCAAAAAAAATTGAAGCATAATGGGATATTTGATGGGGGTTAACTGGTGTTTAATGGTGTTTAACTAGGGTTTAACTGTGGTTTAACTGATGGTCCCACGAAAACACAAAACAGAACAAGTTTCTCTTCCAGTTCTTAGCCCCCGCCTGGCTTGAGATCCAACTTCTCTGCGACCAGCCGCATCTTGGCGATTTGCGCTTGTTCCAGGGTCATGTCGGGAGCATGATAGTAGGCACCAGAGTACCTCGCACCGCGAATCCGATGGTCATTGGGCTGCGCCCCAAATGGGTTTGTCTGAAAATATGGTATATTCCCAATTATAGCCATTTAATAGGGATAATGATCATTAACCATTGGGTTTAGGGGTACACTATTTTCAGACACACCCAAATGAAAATGGATGAAAATGGAAGTCCCTGTCTATCTGTGTCGCCTGTCCCCCGTTTTTTTCATTCGTCGATAAATCGAAGTGTGGGGGACATCTGGTACCAGTGGTTTGGTTCTGTCTTGAGTCTTAACCAGGCGCTGCATGGTGGGTCCCAACATCTGCTCATACAACTTCATGGAAATGTCGTAGTGCTTGGCGATGTTTTGCTTGGCACCTTGCAACTGGTCATAGGATTTCTATGGATTTCTTGACGAAAACATTCCGTCAGATTTGAAATTGGCTGGAAGGTCACAACACGTCACAACACTCGAGTTGCTTGTTTATCTGCTTTGGCTTTCAAACCTTTCAATCTACCACTCCAACGTTCTCGTCTGGCTGTACAAACACTGCCCGTGATCCAAACGATTGAAACGTCCCTGACCTGATGCCGAGAGGTTCGTTGGGAACAGCAGCCAGCTTACACTGCCAACAATGGCACTGCTCAACAGCGGCAAACCCAGCAGTCCAAGATCCTGCATTTGGCCAAGGATGTGTCTCAAACCGCCCCTAAACTCCTCAAGTTGAGGCTACTTTTGTAGGGAAAGCCACGGGTACAATACGCTGGTCCTCATCCTCGGCCATGATTCAAGTTCTATTCCTGGTTCTATCAAGTTCACAGCCACAGAAATCACGACGATCGGTCCCCAGTCCTTCTTCACCCCTTCCAGTTTCAACATCTCAAAGACAAAAGCTTCAAGGTCATTGGACTCCCATTGTCCGTCCATGTAACCTGGGGCAGCCATGCAGCTATCAAGCAATATGATCTTCGTGAGTTTCACGATGTTGTTACGGTGATATGTGATATATGTGATATATGTGATATATGACTTGATGAGAGGAATTTTCTTCGTAACTATCTTGCCCGCCCTGAAGCTAGTTGCCAAGCAGCTTTCACCAAGCCCCAAGTCCCCTTGCACAAGAACTCGACGATACACATCTGGGTCTTTGATGTACCAGTACACGCCATCAGTCGGTGGATTTGCTGGCATGCCATCTGGCGCATCCACCACTGTGATGTTGGTATACTTTTTGATCAAATCCTCTCAAACGGTGTTGAAAATGCAGGACTGAAGGAAGGCCCAACGAAAACTTGAAGGTTCAAACAGCAATGAGCCAAACTTCTGTTTTGCCTCGTTCCACCTTACACTTTGCTGGCTTTCTTTGTTGCATACTAACAAAGAAAGTCAAACTAAGCGCCTGTTCTTGCGCTCAGCATGATGCTCGACCAGGGATCTGGTGGTTTCATCACACAAATTGGGAGGTGAAAAACCCAGCAACCCAGCTGGTACATCCATACGGGGGCGTTGCGGTTGGAATCCAAATTTTTTGATCTGAAGAATCCACCATTGGTATCCTTGATGATTACCCAGCATCCCATTTGAAGTTGGGGTTGCTCATTGCCGTGCTAAATTATCAGAGGGGGGTGGTCAGCTCCCAGTCCTTCAGCGCAGATCCCTCGTTCAGCTGCTTCACGGCTTCAACGCCCAGAAGTCCAGTAACGATGGAGGCTGCGAAGGGCAGAAGAAGCTGACTACCTGCTGACATGAAACCAACGGAGAAAACGGGAAAATTTTAGATCTAAAAAAATTGGACACAAATAAAGACCAATAGCTAGCTAATGGCTATGGCATCCCCAGCTTTGAGATAGACCCTAAGATCATCTAAGATCAGGGAATTTTGAATTTTCGACACAGTTCCATCCCGCCTGCAATAAAGGACTGTCGTGAAACTGGAGTCCCTGGAGCGTCCCTTGATCCACTCACCCGGGCTCTGTGCGGCGCCCATGTTGACACCGGCGGCCGTGGAATCACAAAGCCGCAAGCAGTGCAAGCAGCGAAGCCAACCAGCAGAGGCAGAGCCCGTGCCGAACGCGCCGAAGGTGCCGAACGTGCCGAAGGTGCCGAAGGTGCCATGGCAAGGAAATGAAACTGGCCAAGAAAAACTGTTAGCACTGTCAATGGGACAACGTCACTGATGACTGCCCAAACACTGAAGTCTACACCTCATGGCATCTGCGGATTCAAAAGGAACATGTACAACTGGAGCAAAGCAAATCTCTGAGCATCTTGGCGCGGGGTTCTGTTTTTTACTTTTGCAACAAAAATGTTTACTAGGCATCTGGAGCCAAGGGCCAGTCAGTTAGCCCCAACCCACGCAAGTCAAGTCTCCAAGAATCAACTTTCAGAATGAGCACCGGGCTCTTTCATGCATGGTAAAACTGCAAAACGTCCATCCAAAGATGTTGTTTGGTTTGATTGAAACTCGGGACCCAGAATTGCAACATCATCAGGGTAAATCCACTCATTTTTGGACAAACCCAATGTGAATGCCGATGAATGATGAAACATACAGTGACACCTGCCTGTTTGGAGGATCGAAACCAGCCTGAAGGGCACCAACATCGGAACGGCCAGATGACCATCATCGTGTCCAGCAAACTGTGCGCTTAGGTTGGAGCTGGACGTGCCGAACCTGAGGTTTATCATATATTCATCTGGTTTTTGTTCGTGGTGCAACGGCATCTGTTTTTTTATTGTTACTAGTTGATTCTTGTTGAGTCATTTCGATAGACACATCTCCACTTAGGGTTCGTGCCTTTCAAGAGGTTCGCTAGGCCTGAAGAAGCAGTTCCGCCACAACAACGAATGTTGAGAGAAATACCTACTATGTCATTTTTTTGGCACCAAAAAGTCAAGGAAAATAGTGTGTCAATTCAATGTGTGTCACAGGAAAACCAAAAACCAAAGCCCCGTACGAGCATCGATTTCATCCAGTTCTTCTTGCAACAAGGCCTGGCACCATAGGTTGCCCCAATTTTGGGGCGCCATGGTTTTTAGCATAAAGTATGGACGGCTATGCATCAAAACAAAACAAAAAACATAAACTTAGGATGAACATCTATGATTACCACCTATCTGGGGTGAACAGAAAGGTACCTGGGTTTTTTGACCCCGTTGCCATTGCCTTGCTAGGCCAAATTTCAGCTCAAAATTGCAAATGTCAAACCCATCAAAACGAAGCACATCCCCAACACAATCCAAGATGTGTGTGAAGCATCTCAGCAACGGTAACAACCACCCATTCAGAAACATAACAATCCAACCTCTGCGTCTTCCATCGCGAATTCCTCAAGGAAATGCCATGGATGGGGATGTATTGGTCTATGACAAATTATATCGGAACCATGTTCAAAAAGCAAGATGGTCAAGAAATGTTTCAAAGAAAAAAAACGTTCCAACACAAGGAACTTGGTGCACCGGCTGGAAGACAAACAAAGCACCCACTGAAAATTCCACAAGCATAAAACCATGGAACTTGTTTTCGCGCCTCTTTCCACAAAGCAATGTAACCGATGGTCAGAGAGCCATATCAAGGCAACATGTTGCCGTTTGGATCTTGTTCGCATTGGTTGGGTTTGAAGTCATGGATGCTGTACCAAAAAGAATCGGGTTGCGAACGAACCTGCCAACAATTTACGAGTCATGCTGTATTTTTTTGATAGACATTATCCATGTATAGTTTAAATGATTTCTCGTGCAATTTGGCCGCTGATTTCCGTCTACTGAGGGATGGGAACCGAAAAATATGATGCAGCGATCATGTCTAACGGTTCAATCAACATTTTTCAGAGGTACCATGCTAACAAATCATGAAATGATTTCCAACAAAATAATGAAAGAATGGTGGCTAATAATCATGTTGAACACCTTGCCTGGTGAGACTGAAAGTGTGCAATAAGGACTTGAAACTGTCCCCCAGCTGCGGCATTCTGTCACTCAAAATGACAAAATCAGGCGTTCGAGCGGGGGCCGATGAAGCCATCGCTCTTGGAAACACTCTCTGTCTTCAATTCCTGGAGACAAGGTGTGTCGAAAGGCCAGCAGGTGATCTTCTGCGGCCTTACTCTGCGCAGCAGTTTCGTGAACAATTCAGACGATATCAAACGTTTTTTTGGATTATGAATTATGCATCTTAACCCCAAGTCTTACAGTTTGAGGCGAGGGGAGGGTACGTTTTTACTTCAACAAGGAGTTGCAATGGAGACAATTTTGCTGCGAGGTCGTTGGAGATCTCTTGCTGTGGCCTGTCTCTACCTGCAAGACGGTCTTGCAATGATCCCTTCCCTATGATCCCACCCGAAAATCTACATTTTATTCTGCAAAACCATCGGCGTTCACTACACACCTTTTTCCTTGAACCAGGGCCTCACGAAGATTCACACGTTTGTGTGTCCAATGCAATGGAATGTTTCCATGCAAATGAAACCAAATGTCCAAGCTCTTCTGATTTGCGCGTGTCATCCTAATGCAGTGGCCATGCAACTGTATTTCCATGTATGAGTACAGTAAGGAGCTAAATCTTTTCCACTCCTCCTTGAGTTTGTGAGCCTTCAGCTGCAAGCTCACTCCAATTGCACCGCATCTGCATTCTCTGACACGGAAACTTTTCAAATCTCACATGCAAATCCCGGGATCTAGGGTTGCCCCGTACCCTTCATCTCACTCTGTAAATGCCATTTCTCTCAAAAGGTCTGCATATAGTGCTGGAACCTGCTGGCAGTCAGCTCTTCTGCACGTGAACGTTGACGATCAGCCAACACGTCCAGTTTGTCTCCCATCCTCCTGAACAAAAGCATCCTGGCTGGACGCTCAAGAGGCTGGGTTCCATTCATGGAAGAAAGCAAAAGAATGCAATTCTGGATCTCATGGGCATCACTGAAAGCCTCACGTGCAAGGCCACCGTTCAACTCACCTCGCAATGTCGCATGGATTTGAGTCAAGCTGCCCATTGGTGCCGCCAACCTCACGCATGGATCACTTGTAGGTTCTTCACTCTCTGCTCGTTCATGTGAACTGGCTGAAGCTGGTGCTCCTGCTTCAGTCATGTCTGTGTCATCTCCACCAGTAAGACCACGTGTCTGATGGAAAACAGTGGCCATGTACCTACCAGCCCCCATTGTTCTTGAGGCTAGCATGTTGGCCCTCTCAACTGAGTACATGTGTTGTCTCTAATCCATTGTGAGCGTAGTGTGCGAACTAAAAACCTCCCAACATGACCAAGCCATGGTGTAGCTCATCATGGCTGTCAGACAACATTTCTTGATTGGATTCCAGTTCATGAATTGTTCTGCGCAAATTGTTCACAAGCTGTTGCAACTCGTTGTGCTCCCTTCTCAGTGTCTCGTATTGGATTTGGACTTGGTTGTACGCAGAATCCAGAATGGCCATCTGAACGTATGAGTGTTCGTAACTGGAGAATGCGTCCCTTGCCATTCGATACGTCTTCAAGAGAAAAGCGCACAAACAAACGACCGCCATCAAGATGAAAATAAAGCATCGTGTTGGAAGGAAATGCTCCTCCTTGATCTACGCTATTGGGCTCGTTTGAACACTGAAAACCACCTCCATGAAAGTTGTCATCATCAAACATGGAGTCAGTCACCATAGCCATTGCCCTAGGGGTTGATGACTCAAGGCCCATCAAAATCAAAACACGTGCAATCTGTTTCACCAGTTTCGACATCTGGCGGCCTCCACCGTGTCGCTCAACTTGGGCTTGATATTCAGGTTCACCAACCACAAAGAATCCATCACCTGCAGCAACATTGAGTTCATGAAGCAAAAGCCGAATCCGCTGAATTCCCAATGTTTTTGTCCCTATGTCTGAAAGGTTCCACAAAGTGGGAATTTGGATCAACTGGATCATCCCTTCTCGAACTGCATCTTGAATCCACAATATCTTTCCTGACAGGTGCTTTACCTTCCCTGTCCCTTGTCTCATTGCCAACTGCCTTCCCGATGAAGAGTCAGTAAATAGCACATGCTCGATTTCACCACCGCAAATAAACTGGATACACCTTTTCAAGAGAATTCCATCACTGAGGGCGCTAACCATGGAGTGAAGTTCTGCCTCGCAACTGGATAGGCTCACTACGCGCTGAGACCTTGAGCTGGCAAAAAGGAATGAGCCATTGAGCATGTGTACCCCGCAGCTTGTAGATCTCCTGTGCGTCTGATTTGAGCTCCAGCCACTGTCACTGAAACTTTCAAGCAGCCAATATTGGTCAGTTGAATGCCATCTCCATTGACCCCCAACTGGAATTTCAAGAACCACGCAATAATCCAGTGTGGACTTCAGATACCCCACCATCTTTTTCAATCGTTGCAATGCAGTGTATGTAGGCCTTGACATGGCACCACTCAACTCTTTCACCGTGAAAGCAGATCTGGACGATCTCTGGCTAAATAAAGGCATGTCCCCACAATGGAACGGTAGGCAAATGCTTCCTTTGGAGGAAGGTCTTCTGACTTGTCCTCAACCTGAATGCTTGAGTCACATGGAATGGCCTGAGGCCTCGTTTTCCCAAAGCACTGCTCATAGAGCTCAACCACCTTTTCAGCACTTGTACCCGGGCAGCAAAGCAAGGCCACGCTCTGTTCGGCAGATTTTCCTCTTTAGGAAGCTAATCTCACTGCCAATCCCCTTGAGTTCTGAATGGCTGATTTTGTAAACCTCTGCAAACTTGAGCAAAAAAATCTGTTGCCAATAAGCACGGTCACCACAGTACAAAATGTCGTCCACATGCACCATGATGCAACACTGAGAGTTCTTGGCCAAGCAGGGCTGTTCCTTGCACCACTCAAAAGACATCTTTTCTCTAAGAAAGGAACGCAAGTGCCAATACCAGCTTTTGGCTCCAAGCCTCTGACCTGGAAGATTGCGTTTCACTGTGTATTGTTTTCCCAAAAGGCTGACCAGCATGGGTGAAGGCTGGTCCACCATAAGGAAAGCATCTACACGTCCAGGGTGCCCAGGCAAACCTTGCTTGAGCTTTCGCTTCCAAAAGTTGGCACATCAACCAAAGATTGTAAGAACTTCATTACACATTCAGAATATGGGTGCTTGTAGCAGGAGAATACGTATCTGATTTTTTCTCCCAGAAAGCAAACTC